CCTATAGGATAGCCGGGTCCTAGAAAAGGTCTCTAGTAACCTTAAACTAGTATACTACCTTATTATAAATATCGTAACGATTCTAGTCTAGAGCGCTAGTCGTACTTACTTTAAGCTCTAGATACCGTTTATAGAATAGTTAAGCCTAATTCTTACTAGGAGGACTACTTAGCCTATCCGCCGGAGCCCGCCGGCGTATAAGACTAAAAGCTATCGGACCTATATACTTTACTCGAACTAGGTAACTAAGAGTATCCTAGTACGCTAGGAACTTAACTATAGCTCTCTCTTCCTATAGGTATAGATATTATTAGCTTTAGGCTTTCTCTTAAATCGACCGTCGACCGCGTATACGATACTAGAGAGTAGTTCGGGGTATATTACTACGATCTACGCGTATACGAAATAAGATAGGCTAATCGGCGGAATTGTATTCTACTAGTACCTAACTAGCCCTATCTATATTAGCCGACGGTATAGTATTAGAATATAGGAGGAATAGAAGGAGTTAGGAAAGGAGGGTAGCTATAGGTACCTACGAGATATACCTAAGAATAGATTAGGAATAATAAAACGCGCTATAGAGACTTCTAGAATCCGACTTATTACGTCTAAAAGAAATCTAAAGAGATCTAAAAGAAGGAAAGCGTCTAGAGATAATATCTATTATTTTAGTATATTACTAGCGGCGAGCTAATCTACCCTAAATAATAATACGTGCTAAAGGTACTCCTCTATCGGAGAAACTCTCGGATCGGACGCTCTACGTTAAAAAAGGACTTCAGACTTCGTAAGTAAATCTATTAGTAGCTGAAGTTTCGTCTTAGTACGCCGATATCTAATAATAAGCCTCTACCTATAACCGATAAGGGGTAAAGCGAATAATAAACGATTAGTAGGGGTAACGGATTAATCGATAGCAAAGTAAGGACTGCTACTATTATGTAACGCGACAATCTATAGATGTAGAAATAGTTAAAGACTGTTACGGCAGCAGAGACATACTTATATGCACACTTAGGAGAATATGAGGGGTTTCAGAACGAGAACGTGGCTCGCTACAGCGGGTAGCTCGTGACGTGGGGATGGACGTTACTTGCAATGAGAGAAAGAACTTTGTAATGACACTTGGAAAAGCACACAACAATCAGGGGATTGGGTCTCTGCAACATGTTCTTTGTCTTTGAAACTGCTCTACTCCTACCTTTCGTCACATTGGCAGACGCAGCCAAGCCTCCCAATCATCCACCTCACTGCTCAAACTCGGAGCCCTCGTCGTCCTCCTCAGCGTACTTCTTCCGCTTGGCCGGACGGCTGTCCCCATCCTGTTCATCGTCGTCTTCAAGCCCCTCGAAATTCTCCAGCGCAGTCGCATAGTTCACTTGCTTTCTCATGCGCCGGCGACAAGTGGGAGGTCTAGCTGGTGGGGTGACAAAGTCATCGTCTTCTTCGAACTTGGCATCGGCATCAGGGGATTCTTCGCGCTTGACGACAGCCTTTTCTTCTTCTTCTCCCTTCATGCGTGAAGCCTTTCGTTTCTTCGAAGCAGGCGGGCCCTCACCTCCACCCGTGCCTCCAGGAATGCCGTTGCTAGACCGCATGCGATGGTAGCGATCCATCTCTGCCTTGCGATCCAGCCCATCACGCTTGCAGATGTGCTGCAGCGCCAAAGTCCAGCGCTTCGTGATTGACGAAGCTGTAACATTCTTCGGCTCGTCAGGATCCACCCTTGCGTAAAGCGCGTTGATTCTTTCGTGCAGCTCAGAGTTGGAGTGAGCAGGGACCAGGCGAAGCATGAGCGTGCCGACGATGTCGTCTGGGTGAACACTGCCTGAGAGGATCTCCTCGTCGGTGAGGTGCTGAAAGTGATGGGCGTTGTCCTGCTTGGTTTGAGCGCCTGACCAGTTGTGCCGAGGTGGAATGTCGTGAGCTGAAGGCGCGGTCGTGGGAAATGAGGGTAGAGAGGCCGTCTTGCGTGGACGGCCACGCTGCTTGCGCTTTGGTGGTGACAAGGCGCCAATGCTGGTGTTTCGGTAGCTGGGGCCTGATCGATCGAAGTTCTGGTGTTGCTTGGGGAAGAGGAAGGTATCCGAGACAGAACTAGAAGATGTCTGACCGGTATCTTGAGTGCCTTGGCGTTCGACAAAGGCGCGCCACGACTCTGTCCAACCATCGGGACTGGAATAGTCGCCAATGCATTCGCGGAAAAGCCAAACGGTGTGAGCAGCCTCGGCACCTTCCTTGGTTTGGAAGATTTGCACTGTGAACTCATCGAAGATGGTCTTCGAGACGATTCCGAGCTGGTAGCTGGTTCCATGCGAGTGGTCATGATACTTCTCCATCACGCGAAGAAAACCTAGCAGGAAGTCCACTTTGCCCTTGAACGGTGGACTGCCAAAGTTCTGCACGCTCTCTGCAGGGTCGATCAAGAAGTCGGCAGGTGTGATACCAAAGGCTCCGCGCTCGTACCATGTCATCTCATCCAGCGTGAAGCGTCCTCTGCCAGTGTCCACCATTTCAGGGTCGGCAATCGCACCGGTGACCTGAAGGTGCTTCAGGGATGCAACAAAGGCTTCTTGAAAACCTTGAACGTTGCTTTCGACCATCAAGTGCTCAAAGTCGATTGCTTTGCGCAGTTGGTTGACCGCTTGCGCGGTGCCTGACACGGCTGCGAACTGTGGCAGCGCGTTGCCAAATAGGCCTTCAAGCAGCTGCGGACCAGCAGGCAGCTCATTTCCGGGGAGCAGTGGCTCAAAGTGGGCGTCCGAGAGCGTGAGAAGAGCAGGATCGATGGGCATAGAAGGCGGCGGCGGAGTGAAACTAAATTGTGTTGGGTAAGGAGACCGGCGCATGGTCGGTACTGACGCCATAGGCGTTGGAGGTGGCCGCGGTTGGAAGTTAGGCGGCTGGTAGGTGGGCATCAATCTAGCCGGATATGGGTTGTTGTATACCACACTCGGTGCTGGATAGCTGTTGCGCTCAAAAGTCGGGGCGAGGTTGGAACTGTAGCGTGGCGTGGGTGCAAGATGGGGGCTTTGGTAGGTCTCGGCCTGATTTGTCGGTGTCATCGTGGTGGATGTAGCGGTCGGAATGCCCTGTTCGTGCGCGTCTTCGTCTGAGTGAAAGCTGCTGTCGAAGTCGAAATCGAAGAACGATGAAGAGGACATGGCTGTTGGTGGGTTGTGGTAGTAGTTGCGACCGTCCATGTTCGTGTTGGATGTTGCAATGATGTTGTGCAAGTTTTAAACGTCAGAAAAGCTCTTATAGACGGCGCAGCCAATAGAAGAAGAGGCGCGCAGTCTAAAACACACAATAGCGACGGTTCAGGCGAAACACTGACTCTTAAGTGGAACATGTGATTGCTGGTGAAGACAAACGCATTGTCTTGCGAGTGAATGATCTCACACGGCTGTTGCCTCAACGACAAAACAGGGGTGTCAGTGTTGACAGGAGGAAACAAAGGAAGATCGTATCTCACAAATCTTCCACCTTCCATGCTTCTTATTAACGTGTCCCAAAGACGAAATGCTTCCAATTCGATCCAAGCTGTTTGACACCGTCTTCCAGCTTCCATCCCTTGACATGGCAGATCTTGTGTACTGCCTCTTCCAAGTACGAGTCCATGCGATTGCCAGCGGTATGTAGGTCGCTTTCGACGACAATCCGGTCATTAGGCACAGCTTTAACCGCGGTTTCTACCTTGCCATCTCCAGTCTCTGACCAGGCATTGATGGTGGTGCTGAAGCTGAAGAAAATGTCACAGGGAATACTTGGTGTAATGTACTGCTTGACCGTCTCTGCAGGTCCGGAGAACGAATGTAAGCATATTCGCGGCGGGTACGGTTTGGATCCAGCAGACTCATTGCCCTCATCTCCAGCTTCAGGTGCATCTGCGTGTGCCTTGGCGATAGCTTCTGCTCGCTTCTTGTCTTTCTTTGATACAACCTTTCTTTCATGGCCTTTCCAAGTCTGTGAGACAGTCTCATAAACAATGCCGTGGGCTTGAACCCCGTGAACTGAGACAGCACGTTGCATCTCTCCAGCAAGGGCCAGCTGTGCCAACAAGACCTTTTTCTGATGGTCCATGCTGACTCGGTAGGGACTCAGTCGTCTACCTTCCCGACCGCCAGGGGTCAAGACATCGTCTCGCTCCTCCGCTTGTCCCGGTAACCATGTCTCAGGTATCCGAAACGAGCGATCCAGTCCCACCTCACCGACCAACGCCAGTGGATATCGCTCAAGGTACTTTCGAGTCTGTCCGATAAAATGGCCGAATGGGCGTGGATCAGGAAGAGCCTGGAGGAAGTCGTGGTCTTCGGACTTGGGCGTCAAGACACTTTGGTAATGGGCTGCTTTCTGCTCCCAATTCAATGCACTGGCACCAGCATATTCATTCTCGTCGAACATCTGATGGGAGAACCAGGGATGCCAACCAAATGCGGGCAGGACTTTGTGCTCCTCACTGTAGCCAAGAATAAGCACCACGTAGTCTGCCAAGAAGCGATACTATACCTTTTTGTCAACATACCTCCATCCCATATCTTCAACAGCCATATCCGCTTCGGTGACTCCATATTGGTCTGCAGCTTGGGCCACGAGTTCCTGATCCTGGGCTCGGGTGGCCATCGCCGTCAGAACCTTGGCTCGCATGCTCGGAATCGACTGGAGACTCGAGAGGGTGTCGGTGGGATGGCAGTGGGCATCAAATACACCCAGATGCCACGGAAAGTCATCGTTGCTTTCTTCGCCGGCCATGATGGTTGAATATTCGATGGTGATCAGTGAAAGGAGAGCCTTCCGACGAGGTGAGGTCAATTTTGAGTTCACTGGCTTGGCGTCTCCGCTCGCCACCTCCGCAATCTCCACAACAACACCAAACCTCACTCCATCCTCCTTGCCACATCTCTTCCGATACTTCTTGCCATATCTGCCTTGCAGGCTTGCCTGGAAAGCTCTATACTTTACTCTATCCTCAAAATGTGATCATGTACCTCTCCCGCGGACAGCTCCGCATCGATTCCGCCACGATGCTCCAGCTTGTGTTGTCGCTACTCGGATTGATCATTATTGCCCCCGTGGCCATCCCCATTGCTATAGCAATCTTGGGAATATCGTTCTTCTGCCTTGCAGTCACAGTGGTGGCCATTAGCTTGGCAATCAGCTGGGACATGTTCAAAAATTCCATCTGGATACTCGCAAACACTGCCATCGACTCTACGCCTTTCTTGCTTGAGCGAGAGCAGAACACGGCCCACGAATACCTCAATCTCTTCTTTGGCTATGCTCGCGATTGTCATAAACCAGAACGAGCGACGCCGACTCCACATCCCACCACACCTCTGAAGCCGCATCTTGCGAATGGCATGACCTCTCAAGAATGGATGAGCCGGAATGCTAGTATCGCCTCACTCACGACATGCACAGCTAGAGATCTTGAAAATGCGGACTCTTGGATCAATGATGAAGACGATTGCGAGGCACTGTACATGGCACGCAGGAGCTCCATTGTGCAGCCCAGTTTCGATGCCCCCGTATATGACACTCCACGAAGCAGAAGAGCCAGCAAGGCAGGATCTCCAGAAGCGTCAAGACCTCCGAGCAGAGCACCGACACCATCGACATACACTGGCTTTGCGGACAGCATGCGCCCACCTAGCAGGAATGGTTCTGGTTTCTTCAATAGCAGTCCGGTGACACCGCTACGAGGCTACTCTGCGACTTCCGCGACCGAATTCCAATATTTCCAGATCCAACCAACGAGTCCGATATCTTTGCACGGCAGACGGCCTTCGTGGTCACCTATGATGCATCGAAGGAACAATCAGTCTACGACTAGCTTTGGAAGTGTACCGGAGGAGATGACGGAAGAGAGGACGGATGGAGGCATGGACGAAATAAAATCATGAGCGATGAATACTTAACGGTCACTGGCGTTGTTTCGATGGGGATTTTGCTAATGTACAGAAGTTTCGGTGGCGGCTCTGCGGTACGTCCAACAATTTGTATTGGAACAATGTAAAACCGACTTCATCCACCTCCTCGATGTGCCCTGTCCTGCTCACTACTTCTCACTCTCCGGATCTTCTGCTGGTATCCAACCGGCGGAACGACTTGATGCTGTCACCTTGACTTGCTCTCCATCGCTTTCTGCTGTCGTGGAGCTCTCCTCATCGGCTCGCTCAGCCACTCCGACGAACGCATCCTCATCCCTTGCTCTGATACCCATTCCAGGCACTGGTCTCGAACGTGGACCTCGACTGCGGCCGCGGCGCTTCCAGGAGTCGCTGTCGGTGGACGGATCCTCCACAGACACTCGACGACCTCTGGCGGTGCGTCTTCCGCGCTCAACACTCTCTTGCTGTGATGATAGCTCTGACAAGCTGCTTTGGGCCTCGTACACCTCGCTGTCATCTCCTGGCACGCTCGTCTCTGCTGGCGGTAGCGAAGCACCCCTCATCAGCCCGCGCTCCTTCTCTTCTGGCCTGCTTCCCTCCACTGACGGCGACAACCGTGCCATCGGCGGTGGCTGCGACTGGCTGAGGCGCTCGAGGTAGCTGGGTGGTTTGCATTGCCAAGGTGCATTCTCTCCTTCCAATCGCCGCTCCTTCCCGGTGAAACTTCTCGGTGGTAAAGCGAGCGTCGCGCGACTCTTTGCACGCTTTGTACTCTGGTGAGCCCTGTCCATCTTGCTGGTCTCCCGAGCAAGCTCCGTGTTTCCTTAAGTATCTGGTGAGGTTACGGTGATGGTGGGACACACCGCTTGACCGTCTGGCTTCTTGAGTGTGCACTTGTACTTCGTTTCCGTCTTCTGCTCGAGGGGTGCGAATGGTTCTGGAAAGCGGAAGGGCGAGCGGAATCCTGCCATGCGTTTGCTTCTGCGAGTGTTGGACGGCCGCCTCTGCAACTTGGTCTTGCGGCGCGAAGGGGGAAGCTCAACGCAGACGATGGCTAATACCACGCACACTAGAATTGCGGTGCCGACGACGGTCATGCATGCGCCGATTTGCAGTAGCGAAATCAATGCTGATTGCTGTTGAAGTCGTGCATGGCACGCTGAGGTCGAAGTCGAAGTCGAAGTCGGAGTCGGAAGGCGTGCTAGTATAAGGTTCGCTAGCGGCGCCAAGAGAGTGAATGAATGTTCGCTTCGGTGCACTTCGGCACTGCAGCAAACACTGCCACTCCAGGGAAGCTTTAGATACTTTTTCATGCGCAAGCCGAGTCACAATTGCTTTGTTCCACGACACCTCTTTGGTCGGTCTTTGTTGCAACAACACTCGAACAACAAAGGCTATCCGCAGGCAACCTCCCGTCCCTTGTTGTGCTGACTTCACGACACTACACACGACTCAAAGCTCGAGTCTTAGCAGATTCGACTACACCAGCAACCTTCGGCCGTCGTCCTCGACCGACAGACACTCGTACCCCTACACAGCTACATGCTCGACGACAACAGTCACTTGCTCGGTCTTCTCTCAGCTAAAAGCCCCTGAGTATCACTTCGATTCGTTCGAATAGGCGCAGACGTGCGCTACAGCATTGCGCGACAGTAAGCACTCACGGCGACACGAACGCCACCTGTGCAAGGGCGTCAGAGACTAAAGCGGTCAGACATCAAGCACCACCGTCAACATGGATCGCGGTCGTAATGTCGACGGCCCTCCAACCCATTTCCGCTGGCGAGGCATCCGTTTGCGCTTCCCTTCACGTATCAACCAGCCAGCCAACCGTCGGACTACCCAAGATGAGAACGGCACGATTGGATAAGAGACTCTTGCCAACGGATCTCTCATCGAGGCTCCTCGCAGCAATCCGGTCGCCGCATTGCGGACACAGCGTCATTCGGCTGGTATAGCTTCAGACTCGACATCTGAATCTCCTACTCAAGCCTCACGTCTCGAACGACTTGAAGCCCCAGGCATCTTCAACGGCACCCTCAGAACTCCTCTACTCGATCCTAATGGTCTACCAGAATACCCTCTATCATCACCAGCGTCTTCGCAGAACACGCCAGGTCATCATCAAGATCTCTCCACGGACAGCCGCAACCCACTTGCTCGCCCGATCTCTCTATTCGACACCTACCAAGCTTCCGCTCTGCGTTATCAGGAGACTGGCTCGACGAGCAGACCAAGTGATCGCGTGAGACCAGCTCTCGGTCCCTTCGTTGGCCTCCGCCCTGGAGCTATCGACCGAGACATCTCTATCCCTGAGTACAGCACAGATCCATCCAATCTGGAGACTCCTCGACAGTTTGGCGACTATGCTTTGCAGGGCAACGACGCAGAGGGCAGCGCTCAGCATGCTCAGCCAGGAGGTCGCCTCACCCACCTCCACATGGACTCGGATCCAAACATCAGCCATCGTCCAAAGGCGCTTGCACATCTCATTGCTGACGCTGACCGCGAGCGTACCCTCGTCGAGCTGACCGCCGCAGAGCAGCAACAGCTCCGCCACGACCTAGGACCGGACTATCCATCACCAGAGGACCTCGAAAACACAGAGCATGCAAACGCCATGCTACGCACCCTAGGCCGACTCCGCGCTCTTTCCCGCTTCGCACACGACACCCGCGATCGCCTCACAAACGATACCGCCCTACAGCAGAGAGTCTCGGATCTATTCGCGAACATCATGGGTGAAGCTCCTCGGCGTCGTCGGCCTCGACCTCGCATCATCACGCTCCCAACTTGTCAGGCTGAAGAGGGCAGCGAACAGTGTGCGATCTGCTGGGAGCCAACGGAGGGTATGGAGGTTTCGGACACGGCTTGCGGACACTCGTTTCATACGGAGTGCATGAATGAGTGGCGGGAGGACAACGCGAACCCAACGTGTCCGATGTGTCGAGGTGCTCTGGGTTGAGAAGGGACAACAGCGCCACGGCTGTATTCTGGAAGGCGAGCTGAATTGATTGGTTGGGTTTCTTGGGCTTTGCGTTGTTTGGCGTGCTTTAAACATCCGACTACTTGGAGTTATGGCGTTCGAGATTGGTTGGTACATCGCATTGGTTTCATGGCAGGCAGGAACGACGGAAAGCGTGGTGAAGAGGGAGTATGGACATGGAAAGACGGAATGAAAGCATGGAGGGCGATCAACGGCACGGTAGTATGAGATGATCAACACATTCAGAAAAGGCCTTCAGTCGTTCCTATTTGATTCTTGCTGTGTTTCCTGTCGCGTAGATGACTAGTCACGTTTGACGTTTGCCGTAGTGATACTGGTAGGCCTCTTACTAGCCTTCAATGTATAGTCTTCCAACCTAGAACGATAGGAAGCTGCTGTAGAGAGGCTACTTTCATGCAGCCGGCCTGAATGGCCTCGAGTCCAAAGTTTGTGCAAATCTCAATGTCCCAGTACAAAGAACACCAGGTTTCAATGCCGTTATGCTTGCTATACACAATGCAAGAGCATCCCAGAGCACCTTTGCAGGCTCCCTACAGCTTAGTCCTTCCCGGAATCCATGCACGCCTCCGAGCTCGTGATTCTTGTGCCTTACAGATGGTGAAGATCTAGCCGCTTGTCCAACAACCGCACCTCTGGATTATTCTGAGCCAATGGCAGTTTGCTGCACGTTATTCTTCTGCGCACAGACTGCCGCTTCATGGTTGATTCTAAGCGAGCACACGCAGAGGGCTGGACTACTTAAAGCGCTTCGATTTCCACTTTCTACTCTTCCTCCTCCATCAAACTTGTACACAACACTCCGTGAGTGCAGCGCTCCTCCTCTCCTTTCCTTGCTCAATGGTATTGAAGCTGACTTCCTAATCCGGCAGTTACTATAGCGCCTTGGCATTGCCTAGTCATTCACTCAAGCTATACAACACAACATTCACATTCTTCCCACAACACATAAGACAAAGCAGTAAGTCTCACATAACGCATAACACATCTGTACATAATACTAATACCGCCTTAAAGAGATGTCTTCTCCCTCCAGCTTCGCCGTCTCTCCCGCTTGCGCTCCCACCAACGCCACTTTCACACTCAAACTCACCGACTCGACCCATCTCCACACGCAAACCATCTCCATGGCAAGTCTCTCAACTGAGCTCTCCATGAATACCATGGCCCGCCTCGGCAGCGTCGACACCGAGAGCGATGCCGCCGCTCATTCCTCCTGCCCGCCCGACTTCTCCGGCCATCTCGTCCTGGTCTTCTGGTGTGATGAACCCACCATCTACAGCGCCAATCTCACCTCGACTGGATACTCCCTCTCTCCCGCCAAGCTTGGCGCTACATTCGACGCGACCTTGCCACCAATCCTCATCGACCCACGCAACCTCGAAGTCTCGCGCATTGACTTCGCCACTGGCACGATCTCTCCCGACGCTGCGCCCGAGGCCACTGATGGCACATCAAAGACCTCACACAAGACCGCGAGCAGCACGATCACGCACTCGGGCGGTGGCGGCAGTGGCAGTGGCAGTGGCAAAGGCCAAAAGTCGGGAGGAGACCAGGGCGCGGATGGCAGCCCTCGCAAGCGCGACAGGAATGTTCGCACCGGGCGTGGGTACAACAACGGCATCACCACCGCCGTTGACGGCTTTTGTGAACTCCCGCAGATGGTGATCACTGCGGTAGAGTTCCTCACCTTCTTCCCGCATCACACCCAGTGGCCGACTGTTCTCTTCCGCCTGTACCGCAACGGGTGGTCCACAGGCTCAATGGCCAAGTCGATGCTGCACGCGAGAGGTAACCTCGACCGAGCAGAGTGGGACCGCCGACAGGCCGCTCTCCGTCACCAGCTTCGAACCGCAACGATCAACAGGTACGGTACTGGCTCGGTCCCCTCTGACATGCGGCGAAATGGCCATGTCGACCTGCAGCCTTTCTCACAGCACTCGAGTGGCAACAACGTCGACCTATACGACGTGAGGAACCCAATCGAGCCAAGCGGAGACGTGTACGAGCCTCCACGAGGCAAGAACACCCTCAACGACCCGGCAACCCTGCAGAATGTGATCAACGGGATTGTCAACTGGCCAACAGGGCAAGACGCTGGGCAGCTCACGCAGGCGCTCCAGTATGCGCAGGCAAATGGCCTGCTCCACCAGACGACGAGAGACCTGCCCAACCTCGTACTGCAGCAGGGCTTTGTGGTGAAGACTGACGCCAACACCATGCAGTACGATCTGCGAGGTGTTGAGCGGTTGAACAACGCTGTGGCCAACCCATGAGTTGACTGAGATTGTTCGGAGGGCGCGAAGAGCGAGTCATGGCTTCTTTCCTTTGTATTCAGCGATGGCGCTCGGTTTGAATTTGAGATACCCCACGGCGATGATGAGTTTGTTTTGCTTTTCACCATGATGCTCCGCTGTTCTGCTTCAGATCGAGATAAAAATGCCAAAGATGGCTTCAAACCCAAAATACCTCTCAATTTTCAATTCCCTAATCTATAATAGTCATCAATCTTGGTATCATCAGAATCCACCGTCAATGTCCATGCCATCTCTGAATCCATAAGTCGTCCATCCATCCATGACACATTACATCAATCATAAAGTCATCTAGAATCAAAATGCTTGGTCCCCATGCCAAAGCCCCGCCAGTATCTCCATCTCTTACGAAGTCCCAACAATAACCGTGAAAAGCTTGGGATCCGGACTCGCCACAAGTCCAGACTGATCCTCCTGATCACTCGGCGCAACATCATCATACGAGAAAGCATATCCTCGTCCCCCGACTTCGATCTGATGAACAAGCTGGCTGTACCAGTTCCTCGGCCGGGAGTCCGCCGGGCGTTGAGAGTCATTGACATAGTACTTGCTCGGCGGCAAGCTGGGCTGGACGTTGCCGCCGGGAACGAGGAGGGTTGCTCGGTTGAAAGCTGCACAGAGGCGGGGAACGACGGCGAGGTGGACGGCGTTGTCGCCTTGTTGGATGGAGAAGGGACCGGTGTTGCAGCCGAAGATGTCGCGGTTGTTGGGTTTGGCGTAGCCTCGATTGTCGCCGGCACACTGCAGCTTATCGCCTTTCGTGCGGCAGGTGACGTTACCGGGGCTGGATTGGGTGTTGATGATGAGGTCGTTGGTGCTGTAGTGATTCCAGACGTCGTCGACGTATTTGGCGAAGTATGTTCCGAAGGGGTTTTGCCCGCCTGCAGGCAAGTTTGAAGGTGAGAGAACCCGGATGAGCTTCTTGGCGGAGTTATAGACGCAGAGTTGATCCCAGCCTCGTCCGTCTTTCTTCTTCTGAGCTTTCAGCTGGTCGCAGAGCACTTCAGCAGCGTTTGCTGGAGTGCCGGCGATGGACTGCGTGGTGCCGTTGTTGTCCTTTAGCTTGATGCCCAACGGGAGGCCGACGAAGTCGACAGCGGTAATGTCGGCGTAGATTCCGAGCTGCGAGTTCCAGGTCAACTCTGCAAAGGCATAGTTGACTTCAGCACTTGGGTCGTTTTGGTTGGCAGCTGAAGGCTGCACAAGACCTGGTCCGTTCGGCGTGGCTACAACGAAGAATTGCAGTCCGCCGACAGCGATCCAGATCCTCCCGCTGATGAGATATCCAGGCAAAGTAAGTGGAAGAGTCGAGTTTGGTTTTCCGAGCGGAATGGCAACACTGTCATCGACTGGTTGAGGCGTAGAAGAGGAAGTCGTTGGGTATACCCATTGACCACTCTTTCCCAGCATGACCAATGCACCCTTCGTGTCAAGGCCTGAGATATACACTTTGATGTTATTGCTGTTCCACTTGTTGACGATGTTGATTGGAAGGTTACTAGAGGCGGCCAGTCGGATTGTTGTCAAGTCCGTATCATTGGAGGCTGTACTGTTCGTGGCATGGATGTTCGTTGATGAGTCCGACGATGCATTGTTTGCGTTGTGCCATGTGGTTGAGTTGAGCGTATTCTCTTTCCTAATCCAGATGTCTTCCTTCTTGAGTCCATCGTGGACTATGATAGGCGTGGAGGATGCGAGCTCAAACAACGGTAGTAGAAGAGCGAGCCGGAATGGATTTGATAAATGCATTGTTAGTAATGTGTTTTGCATGGAGGCAAGGATTCAGTATACTGACGAGTACTCAGTTCTGGTATCACAGCATGCGCCCTTCTTTATACTTGATGTTGGAGTCGAGAGCTGGTTGTGGTTGGTGAAATGGCAGGTCTAAAGTTGACTGTGCAAAGTACGAGGGACGTTGGTGGTAAAGAAGTGGCGTGCACACCAGACTGAACGACCAAATTTTGAAAAGAGAACAGCAGGCAAGCAAAGGTGCGGTCAGCTTTTGAACGCTGGGCCTACCCTTCTATTATTTCCAAGAATGTCGCCACTTCCGATGCGGACAGCCAGGAGGTCTTGCGGTGCTTCGTCTCTGCGATTGAGATCGAGATCATGAATACGACAATCGTGGAAGGCCAAGGATAGAGGCACGAAAGAGTGAAAACTTCAGCCATTCAAGCCGATGCAGAAAGCCCTTGGCTGGCCAGGAAAGGTAACAAAACAAACAGACTGAACCACTGCACGCATGGCAGCCTCGTCGGATCGAAGGAATCGTGGGTACCGCTGTGACTCGCAGTCCTGGGCGAACGCTGCGTTCTGGAGCAAGATCCTGCGGGTGTTCGCCGGCCTGGCGACCACGCGGCGGCGCCATGGCGGGTGGAAGTACTGGAACGATGAGAGAACTTCAACACCACCACAGCCACGAAAATCTCACAAGGTACGGGCTGATCCAAGTGGGCTGGCGCAGAGTCTTGGCTAATGGGCAATTCGGAGCAGGGTCGCCAGAAAACAGCCATCATATGCATTCGGAGTCTCATCCGCATGCTCTCGATGTTTTTTCTCCATCAATCAGGCCAAGTCGAGAGGGCGCTGCTATTATCCGGCCAAAGTCGCCTACAGCCCGAGTTTGAAGCTTCTCAAGTTTCCTTCTTTGTTGAAAGAGAACGAAATCGCTTTGTCTTCGTGGTCCATGTGTGCGAATTGCGTCAGATTGGCTGGCACGCTGTCGGAAAAGTGATCGGTACTGAGGCGAGGAAATTCTGCCACGAGCCATGGCTGGCATGCTGGCGACCGTTGCGTTCCACTTCCAGGATTTAGAGTTTGATACGCCAGCACGCGTTCATTACGCAAAATGCCATGCTGTCGTTATTGTCAAGATGCGAACCACGGGAGGTTGCCATCGAACGCGTCACAGCGCGACTGCTGATCGGAAGGAAATGATGCCCAGCTCGTTGTTCTGCTTCTCATGTTCCGTTGTCGTGACGACCGACGCCGAGAAATCTCGATGATCCTGCAGCTATCAGAGTACGAAGTCCATGGGTCGATGAGATTCACTGAGACGAGTTCTGCCGGACACGACTAGGTATCCGTAGCAGTGGTGAGAGAAGAGGAGACGGGAATAAAGATGAGAGAAGGAAGGTTGGAGATGCAAAACAACATTGAAAGAGGTGAGTGGCGCTCTGACCACCTCGTATTCCGGCTAATTCAGTAGCCGGATCGGATACATCCCGGACGTGTCTCAGTTCTTTCTTCCTTTCCCAGCTCATCCCTTCATCATCATCACATCGTCGAGAAGCGGATTGTCGACAGCAATGCTCATCGACCAAATGCCTTTACCTCTATGGTTCGAAGCCATGAAATTGTTTTCCAACCCATTCCTTGATGGCTGAACGCCTGGGAAAGATAAGCCAAGAACTATTTCGAGTGCATCGAGCATCAGATCATTTCGGATCTTGGGGGACGGACTGCTCTTCACGGAAATGCTCATTAGTGAAGTCTTCGCTGGGAAGTTGGAACACACAATGGCTACTCGGTCGAGACTGGTCTTCCGGACCTGAGCTGATGGAGGATGACCCCACTTGGTGCGGAGAGGAGCGAACGCGATTGTGTCCACGTTTCTGCAATGTTCTCTGAACCCGATCCAGCCCCGGAACATCAACAGAAGGCGAGAAAAGCAACTGCCAAAGGCCTTAATATAAAGGGGCGTACACATCGAGACGCCTACGTTTGATCCGCCTTGACTAGAGACAGAGACATCACAACTCCTTCCAGGTCATCGACTTCGCAGCCAGAAGACCACCTTTCAAGCACGATACAGACCGAAAATGCCTGAACTCGAGGTACCGGGAGCAACACTCCACTATCAAGTGGCTGGACAAGGCCCTCTACTGCTCACCATCTCTGGCGCAAATGGGAGCTTCGAAATTTGGCAATCACTCACTCAGTTTCTGAAAGACTCTTTCACCGTGGTGTCATACGACAGACGAGGCTTCTCTCGTAGTCTCCTCAGCGGAGCTCAAGACTACGAGCACAGGCTGGATCGAGACGCGGACGATGCGGCGGCACTGATAAAGCACTTCTCTCCTGACCAGCCAGTCACCGTCCTGGGGAGTTCTTCTGGCGCCATCGTCACTTTGCGACTGCTCCAACGACATTCGGACATCATCAAAGTGGCTGTTGCTCACGAGCCACCGGCAGCGCAATTCAACCCTGATTACCCGGAGATCAAGAAAAGTATCGAGTCCATTTATGATACCTACCGCCGCTCCGGTGTTCCTCCAGCCGCCGAGGAGTTCTGCGACTTCACCATGCTTGGTGAGGAGAGAGCAGGCTTCCAACGAGCGTTTGATCCACGGTCTGGACCTTACGTCTTCAGCAACGTCAACTACTGGTTTGAAAGGGAGTTCCGGTACCCGTTCACCGAGTTTACGCCTGAGATGTTTGAGCCGCATAAGTCGAAGTTGCTGCCAGTGAATGCGCAAGAGACGAACAAGAAGGCTTTCCATTTCAGGGCAAATGAGAATTTGACGAAGGCGTTGGGCCTGCCTCTGCCGTTGTTCACGGGCGGGCATATCGGGTATGCATCGCATCCTGAGCAATTCTCGAAAGATTTCTTAGCGGCGTTGAAGGAGAAGCAGAGCGCTTGAGACATCGACAGAACGACAGAGAATGGTACGAGCGCTTCGCAGCTATCAAGTCATGCTTCATTTTGTTCAGTACGTCGAGCGCACATACGCTACTGGTCCATCGTACACCTTGCGTCCAAGCACGATGTAATAAATCACCGCCAATACAATGATTCCAACAAATATCACTGGAGACCAGTTTACCGTCGACAGAGTGACCGGTGTGGTGATCGGGAACGGTATGAAGATGATCAAGTAGATGCCATAGATCATCGCGAAGATGTTGATTGGCATGCCAAAGCGACCGAGGGTCCAGTCGCCCTTCGGTAGAGGCCTCCCAAACATGCGGCGCCAGACCAAGCAGCCGATCGAGATCTCGTAGGTGAAGACCATACCAAGGAGTTGGCTGACAGAGTATTAGTTTCGAGGACAACTCCGGAAGATTTGTGAAACTTACACAGATGTGATGGCATTGAACGCAATAGAGCTCCCGAGCGAGATCAGGCAGATCAGCACCGAGAACATGTATACCACGATCACTGCTCGAGTGGGGCAGTTTGTATTCCGATCAACCTGCATTTCGTTAGCAGAGGCCTCGAAAAGACACCAGATCAACACAACGCACCTTCGCAATCCAGCTCGAGAATGGCAGCCCTCTATCACGAGCGAAAGCCCAGACTTGTCGAGAGCACGACGCCATGTAGTTGATGGCACTGAACATGATCAAGACGACCTGGATGGATGTCAAAGCAGCCGATCCTGATGCAGATCCGGTAGCATTCTGGAAGACGGCCATGAAAGGGAAACCAGTGGGAGAGTCGAATGCTTCCTCGAGGTTGGCCAATGTGAAGCAGTAGGTAATTAGCATGACGAAGACCATGAGACCATTGACGATATAGGATGCCACCATTGCTTTGGGCACGACACTGGAAGCCCGTTTGGTCTCTTCTGCCATGTGAGCTGCAGCGTCCGATCCAGTCAATCCCCAGACGAGCAAGATCTGTCCGGCCAACATGCTCAAACCCAGACTCCCCCAACCACCGTCGTCCGTAAATGTGGTGAACACTTCTTTCGTGGTGAGCCGATTCCCCGTGGAGAGTACCCAGAGAACGACCAGCGTCGATACATAGCCCACGATAACCAGGACGAACACGATTCCTTCCAGCTTCGGCAACTTCCTGCTGAGGAAGACATTGCAGATGAAGTTGATCGAGATCAAGGCGAAGGCATAGAGGTAAGCTTTCCAGGCAGTGGCGGTGTAGTTGGGATGCAGCAAGATAATGATGCCTTGGATGAGGTTGCCAGATAGGAAAACACCGCTGACAGTCCCGCAGCACCACGCCAAGGTCGAGAGCCACCCACTGGTATAGCTGATGACCTTCTGCAAAGACGGAGGTGCGAACTCGCTGGCCCAGTGGTACTGACCGCCGGCAGTAGGGGCCATGCTCGCCATCTCCGCCAGGGACAAGGTGATGAACAGGAACGATGCAAAATTGACCAAATACATAACAATGGTGCCACCAGTATTGCCATCGATCAATGCGCTGGTCGTGGAGTTTGGTACAAAAATCCATCCCACCATAGCGACGACCGTAAAGGCCGTGATGCTGAGTATACGATATCCTCTGTCAAACTCTTGTCCCTTGCCCAGCCTGACCATGTCCGCATTGTCACGGACCAGGGCATCGTTGGATATCTTCTCTGGATCATGCTCATCCGGAACGTTCACGCCATGGTGACCGATATTGTCGATGTCGAAACCGGCCGATTTTTCGAGCTCCATGACGGGCGAAGTCGTCTGCTGAAGGCTCAACACAGCTTGTCTCCAAGATCCCATAACGCTTCGTCGTCAGCCATTTTATTCCAAGTCGGCACCGACGGCGGCAAGCTGCTGCAGCGAGCTTGGCCGCTGCAGGTCAGGTCGAGGTCCATGCAATGGCACGTGGAGGAGCCAAGGTGATATGGTGTTGGGGCAGTCCAGCCGCAGCAGTGCGACGCTTTATGAGCACCCTGCAGCTGCGAAAAGAGCAGTGCAGCCAAGCAGATGTTGCGGTCAGACCCGTGGAAAGTACGGACCGTGAAGGATTACGCTTGCCTCGCAACTTCTGCTTTGGGAGATTGAGTTTGCTTCCTGCAAGCCCGCCGATTTTTCGACGTGGGGTGGCAGGAGCAGGTGGTCGAGTCTTCGAAGGCTCCACGGTGTGAAACTGGTGCTATGGGCGAGCGAAAAGATGAGCCGATACGTTGGTGGAGTATGAAAATTGAAGAAGATGGATAAGTTGTGAAGACTTCGTCAAAGTTGTCGAAACATCTCCGTCCAGCTGTCTTCAGCGGTTGTGGCGCTTGTCACACAGCTGATCGGGGCGGATCGTCCTTCGGAAAGTCAAACATGCTCCCGAAGATTGCGTTTGAGCAAAACGTCGCGGGTCGCACCAACAATGGAGAAGATTGGACATCAGATCCAAGAGCTCAGGAGCCTAGAAATGGGCATCACCCCTCGATGGAAGTGCTGGTGATGAAGCTCGCGTTTTGGTCGACGATACTTTGTTGCCGCAGGGAACACCTGCCCATAAACTGGATTCAAGACCGGACGATAATGCCACGCCCTGGCAAGCAGTGATGAGCAGACCGTCTGCTAGACACACAACAAGATGGCTCCCCGAATTACCAAGGACGAGCAAGGAGGTAAGATCGTCTTGGCCTTCTCCTTGATGCTGGCCTACACAATCATATCAGTCGCCATACGTCTACATACTCGATGGCCGTGGAACAAACTGTTCAAAAGAGAGGACGCTGTGCTCCTGATAGCAACAGCCGTCACCATCGGTTACACCGCGACTCTAGCCTTAGCCGTCGAAAACGGATATGGAACACGATACACCGAACGTACGACCGCCCACGTGAGCTTGCCCGACGTAGAGAGGACGATTTCGGTCAGCTTTGTCCTCTTGTTCCTAGCGGAGGGACTCGGGACGATATCATATGGTCTTTTCCTCGTGAGTCTGGCGGAGGACGATGGTGGTCATCGAGTTGCCTTGGAAGCTGGATGTTTTCTCGAGGCAGTCTTCACCGGGGTTGCTATTATCGTAGCATCAGTATATGCAGCTCGTCGAGAGTCATTGAGTGTACGGCTTTTGAGGATTTGGAGGCATCGCACCCAGCTGATCAGTTCTAGGCCCCGATCTGGATTACCTTTGGAGTCATACAGGGTGCCATATTGCTCCTACTCTTCAGTTCCATTGCCAGTATGCTTCTAGTGAGTCGAATGCATTGGTGGAAGAAGACCAGAGCGATCCTGTGGTTTGGGCTTTCGCTTCTGTGAGTTCAAGTGTGCAGACTTTGTACTTCTGTGTTTGAGCTGACATTGCCTTCTAGCCTGATAGGAGCAATCGTCGTTCGACTGACGTTCACACCTGCCAACATCTTCCACGCCGGATTCACAGCCGATACGATAGACCTACTCATCATCATGATCGTCGAGATGCATTTCCACATCATCAACGCAACGTATCCCAACCTTCTCGTCTTTGCGGAGAAAGCGACCACAGGCTTCATCATCAGTGGCGCCCCTCGAAATGATTCGATCACTGCCCTGCCCAGATCACAGGCCAGCCGCGATAGCGAGGAGAAGAGGAGCTTCAGTCTTTCGCAGCGGCTCAAATTCTTGTCTCGCCATTCACCGGACAAGAGTCAAACACAGAGCAGGAGCAGCGAGACTGAAGCAGGAGGTTCACAAGACAGTGGCTTTGCCGGCGATTGACAACAATCTCGAAGCCGGCCATTGCCACTATACTTTCTTGAGCTTTGTTCTCTGCTCAATACTGATTTACAACATCCTCAGGACATCCGGGCATTCCAGACCGCGTAAAAGCCGGCTTAGTCCACATACGTGGAGAGCGAGCGATTTCTCGTCGAGTATCAGGGACACAGAACGTATCGCTCACGCAATCGAGTTACACAACTTCGAAATCCAGCAGGAAGCGGACTGTCCAACACTGGCTGCTTCCTCCGCTTCGGCCTCGCTCCGTGGACCCGTGGATTGCATGATCTCGGCTGGACCAAGCAGCTTCAGCAGCTCAAGCTCCCTTCTTTTGTCATCGCGACCCCGGAGCGGCTAAAACCTGCCAATTCCAACGCCTCATGAATTGACCGGAATTTCGGAAATACAGGGCTAGTATAAGGTTTAGAGTAGTCAGTAGGGCTGGCATATGAAGGACGACAGACTATAACAGCAGGCCTACTAAAGTCGAAGATCGATCATCTCCACAAACAAGAAGATTACCACTCAGCAACATGGCACCAATTCGGATTGCATTCATCGGTCTCTCAGCGACTGGTCGGTGGGCAGCTCGTGCTCACTTACCATACCTCCAGAAGTCTTCGAAGTACCAGATCACGGGGATCTGCAATTCCAGCAAGGAGACGGGTGAGGCAGCAATCAAATTCTATGAGCTGCCATCTTCGGTCAAGGCATACGGTTCGGTTCAAGAGCTTGCCGATGATGCTGACTCTTTCGACCTTGCGGTCTGTGCTGTCAGAGTGTAAGTAAATGGGCCCATGCCTCGATGCATGTAAGAAGTTCCAGACTTACATCTTCTCAGAGACAAGCACTTCGATGCCGTCAAACCTATCATCGCCAAAGGAAAACAATGTTTCGTCGAATGGCCGCTCGGGAAGAATCTCCAGGAAGCAGAGGAGCTCCAAGCCATCGCACTAAAATCGGGCAACCCACGAACACTGGTCGGCGTGCAAGCTCGACGATCGCCCGTCGTCAACAAAGTCAAGCAGCTCATCGCCGACAACATCATCGGCAAAGTCCTCAGCGTCACAATCAGAGGTGCCGCGGGCATGTCTGGAGCCGTCGAAGAGGAAGAACTTGGCAGACTCTTGAACGATAAGAAGATCGGAGCTTCGGTTTTCAGCATCCATTTCGGACACATGATTGACTTTGTCTTGTATGCTTTGGGCCAGGATGTCAAATCTTTGAATGCCACTGTCAGTACGCAGAGGCCAACTAGCCAGCTCAAGCTCGCGGATGGTTCGCTGGAGGAAGTCAAGCGCGAGACGCCAGATCATGTTTTGCTGCAAGGAAAGTTGGCAAATGGCGCCCTCATTGATGCCGCTCTTCGCGGCGGACCAGCTTTCAAAGATACACCAGGCTTCGTTTGGAATATCTACGGCGAGAAGGGTGAAATCGAAGTCAGCGCTCCGGGGGTTGTGCTCAACGTCGGTTTCGGCCCTGCGGTTTCTGTGAAGCTTCATGATCACCAGAAGGATACTGTAGAAGTCGTGGACTGGAAAGTCGACGACGAGAATGAGAAGCTGCCTATCCCTTCACAAAATGTTGGGAGGCTGTATGAGGCTTTCGCGGAGGGGAAGAAGCAGGAGTACGCGGACTGGGAGGAGGCCGTGGAGAGACATAGGTTGTTGGAGAAGATGGTAGAGAGTTCGGAGAAGGGAGCTGCCGTTTCGCTTTGACGATGCCTCGAAGACACGACCAAAGCGTGACATGAACCGCATTAATTCATGATATTTGAGATATTCGCTGATGAAAGCATATTAACAGATATCAAAGTCAAATTCAGTACCATGCTCGCCCAGGTTGCCCAAATCAAGATTTGCTGCTTTCTCAGGCGGTATAGGCGTGGAGCACGCTTCTCCGATCTTGCACAATAGTTCCACGATGCCCTTGCCACTCGAGAAAGCGTACAGCTTCGCATACCTCGACCGAATGCTGATACTCACTTCAGTCCCGCTAGGAACGTAGACAAGCTCGCCGGCATGCAGATACGCAGGAGGTGACGATCCAAGGCCAAACTCCACGACACCTTCCACAAGCTGGAAAGCATGGTGTGTGCTCTGAAACTTTAGCTTCCGACTGTTTGCGAATAGATCGCTGTCGTGATGATGCGAAGAGCCTTCGATGGTGCCAATTACAAACTTGCCATTCGACTCGGCAGTTGTGATGAGTGGTCGACAAATCATTCCACCAGCCAAGTACGCCGGTCCGGAACCATTTTTGAGGAAGTAGGGCTGCAACGTCCCCGGCAAGCGATTCTCATCTTCCTCCCACGGTGACGGACCAAATTGTCTATGCTGAGGACAAGGCACCATATCAAATTGCTCGGCTGCCGCTTTGAGCTTTGGGATTAGAACCTCGAAAAGGTTCCGCTGATCGTCGAGGGGCCAGAGAGGTCCGGAGTATGGCTCGCCTATGAAGCGGAAAAATTCTTCCCAGCCGCCGGGAATTATGAGGCCAACCATTTCGGAGTGGTTACCGAGGATTTGGTATTGATGGATTGTGCCCTGCGAAGATGTCAACAGTCTAGACTGTGTGATTAGTTTGCGGAGCTTACAGGAGGCACACTGGCGAAGTCGCCGGGACCCATCGTACGACACTTCTCCCCAGCCCAGACGTTGACATTTCCCTTCAGACATAGGAAGACATCATGAGCCTCGCGATGGTAGTGAAACCCGATGGGATCACTTTGGCTTCCACTGCTTCCTACGATGGCGAACGCGTTCTCGCTTTCCTTGCCCGTCACCAAGAGCCGGGTCGCCGACTTTGATAGAGGGATGTAGATGATCTCGCCTTCCTGCGTCGAGATGACATATGGCAGTCCGGACTTTCCTGGCGGCACATCGGTGGCTCGCAAGATATTGCTACTCGACTGAGTGTGACCCTTGGGGGCTGCCATCGTCTCGAGGGGTCAGCTGCAGAGATCTTGGACTATGATTGAGACTCCCTCCTAAGTGATGAGAGCTCTGGGCGGACATGGCTCATGGCTCATATAGCCTTGCGTGGACAACGTGGAGAGGGGCGATCCAGATACCCAAGGGCGTGTCGTCGTCGACCCAGGCCTCGGAACAATGGCAAATGCCCTAACTCACTTGCCGTGCGGGGAACAGAAAAGTGGGTCCGTGGCTTCGATCTTTCTCCTTGTCGCTCGGCCGAACCTGCTTCGACCACTCGACGATTGCTCACTACACCCACAACAGAAGCCGTATCTGGCAACCGGATAGCTGGGGGCGTTTTGGGGCAAATGCTCGTGAAGTGAGCGGGACACTCAAGGTCCAGGTTCCGAACCACGATAAACCATGTGAGTCTGAGTGAGATTTCTGGCAGCTTCTCCCCAACAACTTCTCCCTTCCCTCCATCAACAACACCAACGCCTCGCCATGGATCAGCTTCCGCCTCTGGGCAAGGACATCCGCGATGTTATTCTACCAACACTGAAAATCTACGACCCATTACTGCGAAAGAATGCGGACAAGATCCGCTCCATAAAGAAAGAGACCCATTCATACGGACCTTCGGAACGGCAGCAGCTTGATGCCTACCATGCAGCAAAGCCCAGACTCATCAATGGTCGGCAAGCGGTTCTTGTGTTTCTCTACGGCGGTGGACTAGTCAATGGCCACAAAGTGCTTCCTGGCTACGCCGACGACCTCTGCCACGCCAACGTTGCGGCTTTCTTCGCCTCGCATTATGGGTACAACGTTGTCGTCCCAGACTACCGACTGGTGAATTCTCATGATGCCAAGTTCCCTTCAGGCGGAGAGGATGTTGCTTTGGCTGTCGAGTGGGTCTTTGAGAATGCTGGTACCTTTGGCCCTGAGCCAATTGATCTTTTCATCATGGGCAACTCGGCAGGTGGTGTGCATCTGTCTACGTTCCTCTTGCATCCAGATTCTGCGACGGCGAGAGCAAAAGTCTTGAACGGGAGCGGCGTGCGGTTGAGAGGCGCCATCCTCCTGTCCGTTCCATTCAACTTCGACTATTCGCATCCGAGCCGCGCAGAGGTACTCAATACCTACTTCGGAAACCACAAAGCCTTCTCTCCACAAGGACTGCTGAAAACCGCCCAGAATCAAGGAAGCATTGACTTTATTCAAGCCGGAGTCAGAGCTTTCATTCTGGACGCAGAACTTGACCCGGAGGACGAGATCCTGCAGACTCGGGACGATTTCATCAAGCAGTGGATGCTCGATACAAGCAAAGAAAACCGCGGTGCATTGGCTGTTGATTGGATGCCTCGCCAAAACCATATCAGTCCGTTTTGCAGTTTGAGTACGGGACTCGAAGAGGAAGAGGCCTGGGGTCATCAAGTGGGTGCCTTTTGCGACAATATCAGAAAATTTCGACCTTCCTAGTTGATGATGCTGTCATTGTGATGGTGCCGCAATACTGTGGCTCAGAGTCACTGTCCAGGTGTTCACGATGTACTAGACGTACAATGTATAAGAATGCAGCTGCGTGCGGGTCAACGAAAGCGCAGACCACACAAGTATTTGCTCGCGCGAAAAATGCCTCACAGCCACACCATTTCATGCCTGCTGCGGATCTGGGCGACTAGAAGCCATCGATAAGGCCAATCAGTTGCTATTGTAGCTCCCAATGTGGCGGAGCTTCGTGGCCTCGATCCTTCAAGCTCGATACAAAAGGGCACCACTTCACCTCTTGCATTATTTCGCGGCCAGCTCTCAAATTCCACCGTCCTTCCCAAGCGTTACGCCATGGAGAACACCCACGATTCGGTGCCTCCGCCTTATGTGGCGCGGCCACCACCAGCGCAAGCTTCGTCATCGTCGAGCTCACGATACCGAACACTACCACAACCAGTTACCTACATAGTCTGGATGAGTGGCAAAGCTTTCCGCTCGTTTACCTCTCATGAGCTGCCGGCAATTCTCGAGTCCACGCACAAGGCTTTCGATCCCAGCATACCCACTTCATCCATCCGCATCATCACACACTTCTTGCACAACAACGATGGAGCCTGGCTCCATGTCGGTGGCTCGGGTGATGCCACTATGAAGGTTCGGTATGTGCGAATCGTCGCCGAGGTACCAATGGTTGGCAACATTCGCCTGTCACTGGAGCGGAAGCAAGAACTCATGGCAAGAATCGTGACAGCGGTGGAGCGGTATGAAGGAAAGAAAGCGAAGGAGACAGAGATTGACGTTGTTGTCAGAGAGATCAGCTCAGAGGATGAACACTGGGTGCGGAGGCAAGTCTTATCGTGAGAGTCGAGACTTTGCCGTGCTTGAACTTGGACAATGCGACTCGACGGCTTTCCTCGGCTTTTCCCTTACTACCTGGCGAAACCGCAACCACAAGCATGATGCTATCGTCTTATGTCAATTGGCTCCTCCCTCCCTGGGAGACTGCATCACAGAGGCTGTTTGAATTTGAACGAAAACGTTGTCTAATCCACGACGGGAGCTGACAAGAAGCAAGTGCTCGAAGATCACCCTTTTACATGTCGAGAAGATGATACCAGTCATCTGCACCGCTCGAGTGGAGCCGGAAGTAGGTGAACATGCCTATGCATCTTGTCAAGCCTTCGGTCAGCTCATCCGCTCTGTCCCAGCTCATCAACAACTTCCTGGTCGAAACCTATAACGGCTATCCAGAAGCTGCTCAAACTCTGGTCGTAATCACACACAAAGACTGGTCACTCTACAACGACAATGAAGCACTTTTGAGCCCAGAAGAAGCCACGAAGCAAGGTTCCAAAGCCCTCACTCACGGCGGAGGACCGATGAAAGTTCCGTCGAGGCCACCTTGGACTGAAACCTTTGACCCCCCGTGCCTTGGCCAATCACCAGATAAAGCAGCCCAGAGTTTGCTAGAGGCCAATAAGGCTCCAGGGTCATTGTCTAGAGATTACTGTATTATTCTGGACGAGCAGACTCTAGGCGATCGCTCTGTGCTTCTAGTGAAGACTCAGTGCAGTCCGGGCGAAAGACTGCCTTGTGAACATGGAGACTCCTCGATTGTGGTAGTAAGGGCGTCATTCAAAGAAGCTAACGGAATTATACAATCCGTCAGTGTTGGCCACGGGTCGTTGGCGGAGATTTTGTGGAATCAGCAACATACTAAAGACCGACTTTAGAAACCGGTATTGGGCACCAGCTTGACCGAAACTCCCGGCACTTTCTGAGTTCTAGCAAATGATCCGTACATTGCGTAAGCCTTGTTCTTTCATCAATCCAATCATCTGCGACCGTTTTCGGAGCGAGTGGTCCTACAGCCTTGTTCCTTACCTCTGTCAGCTAGCCGCAAGGTTTCATACCTTTCGAGCAGCAGAGCCCAAACCTAGAAGGGGTCCCGCTGGGCGCAACATCCACCGGCAATTGGTCGTGAGTTACCAGCAATGCAGGATGGAACGAGGATGGGACCGAAACCTCTCGTGACCTCTAGTTGATACAAAAGGAAAGACTATCCACTTCAGTCCAACATGTGCTTTCAACATACATTTGCTGCCGACTGACGAGTTCTATCAGCGACCACAATGCCTCACAAAGAAGTTGCAAAACAACCCAGTTCTACACCGGGAATCATCAGTTACCTCTCCAGCGAAGGGTACCCCGACAGCAAGAAAGTCCTCCTTTTGGGCTCTGCTAGCGATAAATTGCGGAAGCACGATGAGCACGCTGCGCTCATCACCGACATCAAGACATGCGACGAAGAGTTCACCCTAGACAAGAATGGGTTCCAACACATTGTCGAGCCAATATCACTTCGCCGTGAAGACTGGTCGTAAGTGGTCATTCGTGAAAGAGCACTACAATCCAGAAGTGGCAGATATGTTGAAACGAGTCACTGGAGCAAGTGATGTGCTGTGCATGGCGCACTTGATCCGAAGCAGCACATGGGAGGAAGCCCAAGAGGAGACGAGGGAGGTACTGCAACGAGAAGGCGGACACGGTTTAGTCCAGAAGATGAACCCCGCGAGAACTGCACACTGCGATCAAAGCTACACCGGGGCTGAACAGATTCTGCGAATCAATTTTGATGAGGAGCGTGTTAAGGAGATTATGAAGAAGCGATGGGGTAAGTTTAACAGTTCCCCCCATCGAGACCTTCTCGATGCGTTCTTACTCTTCCCAGCAATCATCAACGTGTGGCGCCCCCTTAATCCCATCCGTCGAGATCCTCTCGCCGTCTGTGACTGGCGCAGCCTCTCCGAAGCCGAAGACCTCGTCGGGCTGGACATCATTCTTCCAACACCGGGAAAACACAGAAATCTCGGAAAAGCCCACGGAGAATCACACGCTCCGCATGTTTGGAATCGGTGGGATATCAAATACAATCCGAATCATAAGGTACGACCTACCACCGAGCGTTCGAGAATTTGAGACTGATATCATAACAGTGGTATTATGCCTCGAACATGACTCCTGATGAGGTAATGTTGCTGAAGATTTTTGACTCGAAGAAGGATGGAAGAGCGAGGTGTTGCCCACATACGTCTTTTGCCAGTGAGATGGATGAATGGCCTGCGAGGGAGAGTGTGGAGTTGAGGACGTTGGTCTTCTGGGACGAGGATGCTGAGTAACGACTCAAGTGTTCTTTTGCTGCTGTGCGAACGCCTTCTACTAACGATGTTGCACGATGACATCGCAGAAGCCTTTCTCTCACAATGACTGGAAGGCAACGACGACTGCGGCTCATCTTTCTATGCCCCGATTATCCGACCAATTTGGCCTTGCAGCCCAGCGAGAATGCCATCTCATGAAGAGCCTCGATCTCTTGCGGCGTGTAAGGAATACCATTCTTCTCTCTTACCTTCTGCCTATCCGCCTCAATCTCACCAGGCGTGTAAATCTGCGCCACCCCTTGCGCTGGATCACATTTTCGAATACGATGGAGCAAAGTATCCATCCGTTCAATGTATTCTTCTTTGGATCCAAGGAATGCTTCCGGTTTAAAAACCATGAACCAATGCCCGACACCTTGCGGCTTAGTTACGTCTGAATACTGGTCGTGGACGTCGCCCGCGAAGGAAGCACCGGTCAGGAGACCACCGAATATGTCCATCATGGCGGCCAAGCCTGAGCCTTTGGGACCTCCTATAGGGAGCACTGTGCCTTTAAGGGCAGCGTGAGGATCTGTTGTCGCTCGGCCTTCGGCGTCAAGCATCCAGCCCTCTGGAATTTGTTCGCCTCGTCTGGCGGCTTTGCGGACTTTGCCCTGCCACAGTCGTCAGTCAGGATTCGAGAGTTAACTTGCAGAAGCCTACCCTGGCCACAACAGAGGGCGACATGTCCAGCACGAAATCGCCCTTTGCACCGCCCGGAAACCCAACAGCCATCGGACTTGTCCCCAGAAGTGGCTCTCTGCTACCCCAAGGCGGCATTGAGCGGCTTGCATTCGTGAAAACCATTGCCCCGAAGCCTCGTTCGATCGCCTGCAGAAGATATGTTGCTCCCATGCCAAAGTGACTGCTGTTTCTGACGGCTGTGATACCTACGCCGAAAGTCTCGGCCATGCTGATGCACTGCTCAATTGCTTCGTGCCCGGCGACGAAGCCGAAACAGCTTTCGGCATCGATGGACGCCATCACTGGGGTTTTCTGCTCGATATGGAGTGAGGGAGATCTGGATGGAGAAGAGTCAAAGTCAGTCGTTTGAGAAACACTCGCAAGCCTAGAGAAAGGTATGCTCACTAACATATTCAGGGATCCAGCTTCGATCCGTGCGATGTAGCCGGGCAATCGATTGATGCCATGGGTGTCGACTCCTCGCAGGTCTGCCAGAACAAGGGCATTCGCAACGACAACGGCGTGTTCATGACCGACACCGATGTGCTTTAGTACCTGTGTCGCCCATTCTCGAGCCTCGGCTGGAGAGATGTGAACTGCCCCGATAGTCATGATCTTGAACTCCATAGTCACGTCCTGAGCCATGTATTTGTGTTCTCGCACAATATACCAGCCTTGTCACGTTGAATCTGCAGCGACTTCGGTACTCCTGTGCTCTGTGCCCTGTTACGAAGCTGAAAGAAAGGGGCCCGGAGCCCTCCGCTGCACCGCTATCCTCCGCCACAACGCCATTCTCCGCTCACACTACATGGTCTGGACTATTGACAGATTCATATTGGTAAGTGCGACCGAACGCCACCCCCTCACGTAGGATTGATTTCGAAAATGCGAAAGCGCCGTTGTTCGAAGATATGAGAACATGCCGCGGGCTTTCCAATGTCGACGAAGTCGTGAAGCTGACCGATCCGAGCACTTTTAGTCTTTGATCTTCTACAGCAAATTGTCTTCAACCATCATCCCCAAAACTTAGCAGCCACATTGTGATCGCCAAACATGTTTTTCTTGAAGAAATTGTTACTTTCTAGGCATGGCAACGAACATCTGCCTCAGGAGGTCCTCAACTTTCGACTGGTTTATGGGATTGTTGGTAAGAAAGCAACATCAACTCTACGTGTAATCAGTGCTGACTTTCCGAGTCTATGGCTTCATGGGCGCCGTACGTGGTCTAGATGAAGGCCTCATCGGAACAACCACAACTCTGCCATCTTTCTCGCGACAATTCAAGCTGGAAGATCCGTCCTTGGACGCGGATGCACAAGCCAACAGACTGTCAAACATCACGTCGATGGTACAGCTTGGATCCATTGCTGGGTCTCTCGTGGCATTCTTCCTCACAGATCGAATTGGACGAGTATGGGCAGTTCGAGAGCTCGTTGTTATATGGAGTGAGTACTGCCTACTGTGTCAAGCTACTGTCTCGTGGTTTCTGACTGACACGTTCACATAGTGATTGGCATCGCAATCTACCTAGCCGCTGCAGCGAACGGCAGCCTAGGCATGGTCATCGCAGGTCGTTTCATTGCAGGCATTGGAATAGGGCAGACAACCGTCGTAGGCCCGACATACCTGGCTGAAATCGCACCTGGTGCGTTTCGTGGCCTGGCCGTGTCGGTCTTCGCTGGCATGGTCTACTTCGGAACTATGTTGGCATACTTCGCTGCTTGGGGCTCATCGTTGCATATCAGCGACGACTCTCAACTGCAATGGATTCTTCCTAACTTGCTACATGTCTACTTCGCAGCCCTGATTGCTTTGGGATCTTTCTGGTCGATTGAGAGCCCCAGGTGGCTTGTCAAAGTCGGAAAAGTGCAAAAAGCTGGGCAAAATCTTGCGAAAATTCGCGATCTGTCGGAAGATCATGAGTTCGTGACTGCAGAGATGAAGGATATCAGTGACCAACTGGAACGAGAAGCAGAAGCCACGAAGAGCACAGGATTCTTGGCGAGACTGAAGGAATTCGTGGTCCCGGCACCCAATCGATACCGATTGATGCTCTCTGTCATGACACAGCTTCTGAGCCAATGGTCTGGGGCATCAAGTATCACCATATACGCACCACGCTACTTTGCCATGATCGGGACGTCCGGGACTGAAGGCCGTCTACTCGCAACAGCCGTGTTGGGAGCCGTGAAGCTCTCCACTGCCATCATATGTGCAATCTTCCTGATCGACTGGATTGGGCGCAAGAGATCCATGCTCGGTGGCATCACAATCCAATCTATCGCACTTCTCTATGTCGCTCTCTTCCTTCAGATCAGTGGATCTGCTGATAAAGCGGGAGTGTCTCAATCTCCAAGCACCAAGCGAGCTGCCACCGGAGCTGTTGCTATGATATATCTCTCTGGCGTCGGTTGGGCGGCTGGTTGGAATACTATGCAGTACCTTATGAGCGCTGAGACGTATCCGCTGCAGCTTCGAGCGCTGGGAAGCTCTGTGGCTATGGTGTTGCATTTTGCCAACCAGTAAGTGCATCGACCCTCTACGCTTCTTTTGCTAACACCTCTACGGATTTGGAAACTCCAAGGCTGTGCCTGAGATGCTGATCGGGCTCACAAATCCTGGCACAATGTTCTTCTTCGCAGCGGTGTCCGCAATCGGGCTCCTGTGGGTGTGGTTCTTCGTGCCAGAGTTGAAGGGTATGAGCTTGGAATCCGTCGATGCAGTGTTTGAGTTGCCATGGTGTAAGTCTTTAAAGCAATACGAGTTGGAAACGCTGGCTGACTGATCTTTTAGATGTCATTGGACGTAGAGGTCCTCAGCTGGTGCACGACCTGGAAGATCATGAAACGATTGAACGCATTGCGGAGGCCAAGGGCGATGCTGTGACGATCGAGCATTCTGAGAAGGTAAAAGGCACGCATTAGAGTCACCTTTGGCTCTTGGGACAGATATGAGAGTTTGTTCCTTTGAAGGAACATGATCATTGGAACGCCAATACTGCTCAACAACAAGGCTATCGAGCATCATCAGAAAGCCACTAATGGGCTCGCGTACGTGATCAGTGATATACTCGAGGAACCAGCGTCATTTGTGTCAGACAGAACACGTTGTATGGGTGCATCTTCTGCTTGAAATATAAAAGGAATCGATTCTGAAAGATTGTTCTGGTAACGAAATATCACGAACGACAATGAGTCTAGTATGTAGCTCAGCCATCATTTCGTCTCCATGGTCGCCATCCTCGATGCTCTCTCGGTGCTTGGCTAAAACCCTTGATCCAGTAGAAAGCTCTGGATGTACTGGTATGCAGCAGCTGCGGAGAAGTGCAAGTTCAGACCATGTCCTGCGTTCGGTGCTAGATAAGACCCGGAGTTCTTTGGCGAAAGCGACGGGTAATACATAGTTTGGACCAAGGCCGACTGGTCGGTAGGATGACTGCAGTTTCCCATGCAGAACGGGAAGTCGTTTTCGCCATTGATTACGGCAATCGGCTTTGTCCAATTCGCAGCAACGAGAGTGCCGTTAGGAGTGGCGGGCGGGCTCAACATCTCTCCGATTGTCTGTGTCCCTTTCTGTGCGTCCGCCTGAGCAACGATAGCGGGGTCGAAACCGCTCACATTGGGCGCGAAGAAGTCGAGCTGCATGCCTTGATCGGTCTGGGGGCAGGTATAGCCATTTTCGAGCCCGGCAAATCGCCTGGGGTCTGCGAAAGCAGCGATCGTGGTGTCGCTCGCAAATGCGAAAGCAAGACCTGAGCTTGCTGTAGCATTTGTGCTGAAGCCTGTGAGGATGGCTGCGTCAAGAAGGCTGGGGTAGTCGATGTTGAGGGAGTGGGTAAGCGACGATCCAAACGAATGACCAACTCCAATGACCTTTGAGAAGGGCTTAGACGAGAAAGTGCCGTTGCGGAGGAGGTTGACAAGGGAGTGTGCTAGCTCGAGCTGGATTGGAGCTTGCACGGTAAGAGAGTCGGGATGCTGACTATCACCGACGCCCAGACGATCGTAAAAGAACACCGCATGGTTGGCCTGTGTAGTCGCAGCGTCGACATAGCTATATCCTGGCGCAAAGTCCCAATAGAATCGGTCGAAGCCGACGCCATGGGTCAACAGTTGTACGATTGAAGGAGGTTTCCCAGCTCTTGCGGCATCTGCTGGCACACAGAGGGTTGCAGCGATAATGAAGTCTTGTTGCACTGTTTCGAACTCTGGTGCAGGCTTTGCTGACCCAGCATGGATGCTTGCCGACACAATGAAAGCCGTCAGAGCAGTCTGGTCTCCGGGAACGGCAGAATGAGGTAGTTTAGCATTATGCCCCGTTGCTGCGTTCACAGTGATTGAGCCGGACACGCATATCGATTGTCCACCTCGTGAAGGGTGCGTGGTCGCGTCCTTGAAGCCCACGGTGCTTGGGGGTTTGACATCGTTCGAGATGGTAGATCGGATGTAGTAGCTGGGAGGGAGTCCCCAAGTAGTGCCACAAAGAGCAATCAGGAGAAGCAGGCGCAGCATCTAATCGGCTTGCGAATGTCGCTGGGCACTTGTATCGGGCGAGACAGTCGCTGTACGCAAGGAAGATGGTAATGTGGTGATCATGGCCCGGTGTGGCTTCCGTCTTGCGAATATAACACTACATCAGGGCCGGACATGCCGTGCAGCAGCACCGGCCGTTGTCACGCAGCGATCGGGCCGTGTAATGAACAGATGAACAGCCGCGCTATTCTTGGCAACGATGAGATAATGACGCGGATTGAGCATTCCAAATTGATGAGATAGAAGGGACGCCTATTATAAACGACCACAGGGGCTCAGCTCTGACCTTTGGCAAACGACAAGGAGCGATTGTAATAGTTCATACTCCGGAGCTTCCGCGGAGCCTGGCGCAGGGTCTCCTATTTTTGTTCCATGGCAGCCGTCCGCGCGAAGGGTAATGAGAATCACCTCGAAACATGACCGTCAACAGAGCCAAATGGATTCTTCCAGGCTACGTAGAGAGTGTTCTAATATAATTCTTCTCCCTGCACTAATCGATATAGCAAGTCGTTGTTGTTGTGGGGAACAGACTGGTCGATGTCGTGGAGACGTTGTAAGCCACTTCATCTTCCACGCACTCTGTGATACTCTACTAGTGCGATGAAGTACTCGCGGCGGTGGGTCAAATGTGGAGGATCATGTGGGTTCGCAGCTGTATGGTCGCGCCTGCAGATGATACAAACATGGTTATCATGTGTCTACTTCGACGCCACATTCGTTGTTATAGGCAAACCCTATGTCTTACCCGCAGGAAGGATGATCCAGCTGCTTTCGCGATTCGTTAATAATCGGATGAGCATGTTGTACATCACATGACCAGGACTGAAGGATTCCGGTCTAGCTTTTGGCGGTCGATGTCAGATAGAAGGACTCTGAAGTTTACCAAAGAACGCTTGAACGTGTGGGAGATCAACGCATATAAGCGAGCTTACACAAGCACTTTTGTTGTGACAATTGACGCTCTCGCCAGCCACGATCTCACTAGCGTAGGAATATTGTAAGCTTGTTGCATTGTGGGCACGTGCGAGTGATTGCGGTGCGGTACAGGCGATGTTGACATGATTTGGGGAGAAGTTGGTGTGCGAACATCTGTGAGGCTCTCTGCGAGACATGCGGGCACCAAGGTGCTCCTCAATCAGCTGAGATCGGGGTCACTATGTCCTGTACTCTGATCGTAAACCTGCAGATCCGTACTCGATATCATTTTCAACACCACAGGCAAGATACGTGAAGCCACGGAAAGCCGGACTGACCTCAAAAAGCGAGCCTAGGCCATCACAAGCCCGACAAACAGTACTCGACAACGCCATCTACCAGAACGCTTAGCTCCATTCTGAAGTTCGAAGAGAATTGGTTGCGTCCTTCGTTATTGGCTTCAAGTGCACAAGCCCATTTTATCGTGGTCATGATGGAAAGAGACCATGAGAGCAGATCGCCAGATCTACGGGTGCTTCTTACAAGAGTTTTGGATCATCTTGGGTACAATCAGAGCTGGGGCACATTTCTGCCTCCCCGTGTCGGGGGACGGGGACACATCGACGCTGCCGCATGCAAGCTGGTGACCGCCTACAACCGCAAGTATTGTCAGAGTTCGGCCTCCCAAGCAGTCTCATATGAGCCAAGCTACTACAAAACGAACGATACTGCAGCATCCGCGGATGAGAGGCTTGTAGTTCAAGCTTTGCAGGCTATCACAGACGCTATCCAAGCTGAATCAGACACTGCTGCGAGTCGTAACGCGCAGGATCTCGCGGAGGCCGTCATTTCAAGGCCCCTGCTCCTGCGATGCGACGACTTTTCCTGTGCAATACTATTCACCCTTCTCGATCAAAGCTTCAAAATTCCTTGCGCAAAGGGTTTACCCTCACCATTTGAAGATCCAGCGTTCTTCTACCTTCAACCAGTGTAGGGCAAAAGCGTACCGCCAGACTGTGGAAAGATTCTGCACACAATGGCGCACAAAATTCTGATTCTCCTCCCTCGACTGATCGCAGAGACAAGGTCGTTTTTACAAGGCGAGGAACCAATCTCGTCAGGATCTTGCCTGGGGGACTTGCGCGCACGGCTCGAAGAAGCACTCGCCAGACCCGAAAACAGGAGCCTGGAGTCTGAACTGCTACACAGAAATCTCAAGAAAGCTTCATACGACGCTTTCAAGGGCATTCTCCAATGGCCAAGCGGATTTCTACAACAAGAGCAAGGCCGCTTGGCTGCCAATCTCATCATGTGCAGTTCTCCCATCACGTCCGGGGAATACGGAGGACTGGGTACATTTGCGAATTCTTTTCCGCAGGCGATGTGCGCCGTTTGGGGCACCAGACACAATCCCTCCGTTCACTTTCACGAGAGTAAGTCGGACTTTGGGCAGTGGTTGGTGCAGACAATCAACACATTCAAGAGTATTCCTCAGACAGTGAAGTTGGAGGACATTAGCGAAACAGAACGACTGTTGTGTGGTGCTCGGCTTGGGGGATTGTTGGTCGCCGCGTTCTCCAACAAGACGCTCCATGTTCGCGGCAGCAAAATCAATGTCGCAGAGCTTTGTAATTAATCATGTTGCTCGACTTGGGTCAAAGATGTTTACGCCGCCTGGAATCCTCGAATTTACCCTCACTATAGCGCGACTGACTACTGCATATCTTTCCAGACACACAATTTCGTCTCTCGAGAACCGACACATCGGTCTAGACATCCTAAGATTCTACATGGCCACCCGTCCGCCTACGTCGAAGCAATACTTTCCGCTTGACTGTTGTTACCTCGAGGTAGAAGCTTTCTGTCTCAGCCGAGCCGCCCCGTGAAGTTAGAGGCCGGTGGCGTGAACTCCATGCTCATTCTATAATCCGCGTTCGTCGAGTTCAAAGGCCCGACAGTCACGGGCAGTTTAAAGTTCCTGAAAATGTTGAGCGGGACGTTCGGACTCCCCGGGGCCGTAGTGATTTCAAACAAGACACTCGCAATGTCGGCACTGCCTTGTGGCCAGTCTGCAGGAATGTTGATGTAATGGTTGATGTTGTTGTTGATGTTCGAGTTGTCGAAACCCAAGAATTTTGCGCTTAGGGTCTGCCCTTTGCCTTCTGGATTACCCGCGTTTCCGTTGGCGATACCAAAGGTCTGAGCAACCTCAGTGACGCTGGTGCCATTGAACGATGTCGTAATGACAATCTTGACTTTGTCGCCCGCGCCGATGGTGGAGGGCGCCATGAAACCGGTGATCTTGGCTGTTGCTATGTGTGCTATCGGGAGGATTACGGCGAAGACGGTTGTCAGCTTCATGTTGTAAAGTGGTGGAATTGGATCTAAGGTCGTGAGTTTGCAACGATATGACTTTTGGGGGAGTCGGCGTATTAAGATAGGAGAGAAGTGATCGATGCAATGAATGAGCTGTATAGAACTCGACCTCATTGATGTTCTTGTACAAGCTCGCCCATCGTTCGCCGTGAGGCTGAGTTCTGCAGTTGTCGTAAGGCGGCGAACTACAAAAAGCGACAAGCTATATTTGCACATATCAAATTTTAGAAATGAAGCCGGTCTGTGAGATTTCCGTTCTCATGGGGACCAGAGTTGAGCTACCACACCGCGGAGTCTCCACGGAGCCTGACGACCTGCTTTCGGCTCTCGAGAGCCTTGATTGATAAGTCTGACAAGGTAAATCATCCGCTTCCTTGCACAGAGATGGTCAAGTCAGGGCAAAAAAAGGTCGGCGCTTCACATGTTGTACCAGTTCATCTTTTGACCCGTCTTTTTCCACCAAATTAATCACAAGCGGCAGTGATCTGTCATCTGCGCTATACGTTGCCGCAGCGACTACTTTCTCAGCAATCATTCGAGAGGTTCGAACACATTTTGGCTCCCACTATCCCCAGCTCACTCCACAGCCACTGCATAGAGACGTAACAGCCACGAAAAAGGCCGTACTTCCTGCTTGGCAGTCAAGCCTCTGCGGGTTTCGTAGAGAGATTAGATTAAAGTTGCGTTGATTTCTAAAATGATGAATTGATCTTGAGATCTACCGTCACCCCCTAGACGCTCTAGTCTTTGCACAATACTCGTAGCCACGCCTATTCCGGGCACGAAGCTCTAACGCTGGATATTGTGAGCCCAAACCCCAACCACAAGCGGCAGTTAGAGCAGGCTCGGCCTAAGACCGGCAACTCAACTACTCCGTAGGGCAGTTGATAATAGTCTTGGTGTATAAGTCGTGTTGTACGTACGTGCAGAAGACAATAGAAGAGATAGGATTCAAAGAATGTACAAGGCTAAAAGCAAGGCTGGGAAATGAATGAAGTACTACTTCTGTGTAACAAAGCAATACAATAGGCTATTCTGAATACAAGTACAAGTGATAATGTGCGGTCCTTCGCAAGTTCGATAGTTGTTCGAAGGAAAGCCCTCTTAAAACAATGAGTGGGACCCGTTCTTGCAAGAAACTCTCTTGCCCAGGCCAGGATATGAAGCACGGCTGTTACCGGCCTACAATATCCACATTGCACACCAAGCACGTCCCGAAATGGCAGAGGATGAGTCCTACCACATGCTCAATGAAGCTCAATCTCAATTATAGCCTCCGTGCTTCTCCGTGATGTGTAGATTTTTCTGATTCGTAGACCGGCCGACTCGACCACGTCCGACCACATTTGTTCAGTCCGCTCGTGGGCAGATACTAAACACATCATGAACATGTCCGATACTGTGTTCCGTGAATTCGCTTTCAGTGGTGGGATCACAGCCTCGTGAAGTAGAATGCGACTGTGGCTCTTGTCCATGGCAGGAACGAGGTTCTGCAGTATCTTCACGGCTTCCGGATCAGGCCAGTCATGCAGCACAGAGTGCAGAAAATAGAAAGAGGCGCCTTTGATGGGCTGCGGAGTAAAGAAGTCGTGCGCGAGAGCCTCGACAGGTGAGGCCACCTGGGCTCGAGCAATGACAGGCGCAAGATCTTGCAGCACAAGTGAGCCCTGTGGCAGATCTGGGAAGTGCGAGCGCAGTATCTCCAGGTCGTGACCAACTCCGCCGCCGACGTCGACTAGCACCGGCATGTCAGTCCGAGTCTGGCCTGCAATACTGTCCAGAGGGTAGACCTCAGTCCATGGCGCGGAAAGCGTAGTATACATCGTCATAGCATCGTTAAAACTTGCACCTACGCGGGGACTGGCGGCGAGGTAGCCAAAAAAGCTCTCGCCACCACTCCAGTCGTGGAAGTTGGTATGATCGGCGTCTGACGGATTGCGATATCCAGTCTTCGAGGCGAAGCGAGGAAAGTTCATGAGACTGGACCAAAAAGCATCGACACCACAGGCGTAGATGTTGGCAAATTTGAGATCCGTCAAGGCCGCACTGTAAGCAGTCAGGGCGTAAGTATCGACCTTGGTCTCCCGGATGAGATTCTACGACTCGAGCAACTTGAGCAAGCGTTCTGCACTGGTCGTTAGCTTAGACGGAACACCGCAGGCGTACGCACGACTCACTGAGTAGCGCGACATCAATGGCACCCATTCGGGCCAATTCATCGCTTGTAGCAGATTCTCCTCCTGCTGCACCCCATTTTGTCCAAAATTCGGCTTCGATTAGTGTCACGATTGCAGACAGCACTGCAGGATCTGCCCAGAGCTGCTCCCAGACAACCTCAGCCGGCCGCTGCACTCTCCTCAACGCTGCCCCCAGCGCGTCAACTGCGCGAAGTCGCTGAGACTCATCAGTAAAGCTGACGTCGTCGACGGTGTTCAGCGATTCCCAGAACTGATCAAGCTCCGTGGAGCAACGGGACGGCGGCATGGTATCCTGCAATGGTAAGTCTACCGCGGATCAAGTGAGTGGTCCACGCTGGCAAGAGCCGTGGAGTGAGACCACAAAGTCTCTTTATATCCTGCATTAGACTCAGTGATGTCATCCAAACCTCTTTTGCATGACACCGACTCCTCCACTTCCATGAGCGAGGAAGGCTGAGAACGAACTTTAATTGAAAAAATGATTGAAGCGACCCCTGTCAGCAACTACTGCTGATCACGTTTAGACAGCGGAATTAAAACGCACTAGAAATCGCGCCATGCTATTTACGTCTTGGAACATATCAGGTCAAGACAAGTGTGGCTCTGTATTCCTTCGAAGAGAGACGCAAGCTAGACGATCGATTTTCTGTAAGGGCTGGTAGCTGAAAGCGGATGCTTCTTAATGCAGCCTTACGGCACCCTGTCTACTGCATGGTGTCGTGCAAATTCGAGTCATGACTTTGCCGTGAACTCCCAATAACGCTCTGACACTCTCGGTAGGATCCGAGTGGCGTATATTTCACCCCCTCGAGTCCAAACGCTTGTGGCGATGTTGCTTGCAGTCCAGCTTCGCTGCCACTCCAAAGTGGCGAGCACGCAGCCCCCAGAACCGTTACATGGAGGCAATATTGATATTCCCCAATTCCGAGCGCCTTTCCCGTTAGTGTGTCAAGCACGCTGATGAGATCGGGAACCGAGGCCAGCAACTCCAAAGACGACGACAGAGGTTTCTCATGCTCAACCAGGAGGTTTTCGTTTTGGAACGGTATGCGAATCTTGCCGCCCACTGCCAACGGGTATGTGGACTTTGAGGACATGGCTTCGGTTCCAACGTGCTCAATCACAACCTCTCCAAAAGAATGTCTACCGCGAAGCCGACTGTCGATAGCTACGATCTTGCCTCGGAAGAGAATTCGGGCGACTTGATCCCCTCCCAGCTCCATTACGATCTGCTCAACTACTGTATCCGTTGTCATGTTCTCTTGAGCCGTGGCGATGCACCGTCCAATACGCCATGCCTGCGAAAGTGTGCGTTTCACGCCCAGTCGCTGCACTAATTCACCGGGAACAGGTTTTGCAGCAAAGCCGGCAAAATACCCCATCTCGACGCAGAGCGCCCGTATAGCACCGTCCAGTTGATCGTTGGTAGCACATTGAGTTAGGACAAGTGCGCAGCCATCGCCAGAAGCGATCGAGCAGGGAAGCAAGGCGGAGGGAGCATGGACGGAAAGAGTTGTCTGCCAAAGGTACGGAAATGCGCGACCTGGAGTTCCGAGTCTTAGTCAACGGGGCACTTTCAAAGAGACACCGCGCATAAACGCCAAGAGCTGAATACCGGCGGCGAAGAATCACGGTGGCTTCGACTCACCTATCCAGTCGGCGTCTACCACAGGACGATCGAATGCTCTGCTGGAGCCTTGCGTTAGCGCCACCATGCCATTCGACCCACCCACTTCTCCAGCCATGATGGCATCGAAGGATTCCAGGCCTTGGTGGCGAAGGATCTCTCGAATCGCGTGGGATGTCTCATTTGCACTCAGTCGCTCCGCAACAACAGGCGGCGAGCCAACATTGGCGGCCCCTGAGATACGACGTTAGCCAAGTGTGTTTAATGGTACGAGCGACTATTGCTATTAACGCTGGAAAGGCTTGTCTCGGCATCTTACAGATTACGTTGACCTTGTCCGCCAAATCGTCTGGATCGATAATGCGGATTCGATGACCCTTGTTGAGATGATCTTTGAGCTTGAGCAGTTCCGGGTAAGGAGAGCCGCCGCCGCCGCAGCCGAGCACATAGCATCCGTCTGCGAGCCATTCCAGGTCGAGCTCGGAGACCAACCACTCTTGAGTTTGTGTCTGAGGATTCAAATGTATCTGAGGTCTGTAGTCTCCGATTCGACCTCTCGCGGCCTCTGGAACGTAGGGACTAGCATCGCCGACCACGGTTGCCTGTAAGATCATGGGCCTTAGCAGAGTGCATCATGGACCAAGTGAATTTGCGACTTGCCTTGGCCTGCATTTCGTCATACATCGATTCAAGTCCAGCTGGTGCATCATCGCCATTAGGCGCTGATATGGAGCTCGGCACAAAGTCACCAACGGCTTTCACGACCACGCGGACCGTGTTGGCGACGTACTGTAGTGGCAGTGTCAGCACCTCAACGATCTCCTCAGTGCCTGGTAGCACTCCTTTACTTCGCAACTTCTCTAACGAAAGCTGCTTGACCTTCTGCAAGCACGCAGCTACTCCTTCAGCGGATGCAGTCTCAATCGTATCCAGAGTCACGCTGATCTTGGCGGTTGCGGCACCAATGGCGTTGGCCACGTCGTGAAAGTCAGGTCTGATGATCTGAGAGACCCCTGAGAGCTCTGCTGGCGCGAGAAGAGACCCTCCGCCGACAATGAGCATCTGCAGGTCTCCTGGAGAAGTCTTCACGGACTCAACGACTGCTTCGAGTGATTTGCGCATGGCTTGCTGGGCCTGAAAAATTGTAGACTGAGGAATCTGTTGCAATCTTGATACGTCACCACCACGAATATTGGGCGCTCCGGCAGCGATAGCCACGTCCATGGCTGTGAGCGAGTCTCCGCCAAAGATGAATGCCTTCTCGCGGATGCTGTATCCTACAGAGTCTCGCCCTACCGTGACTGTTCCATCTCCCTGCTTGCGGACCATGGATCCACCTCCAAGCGGTAGGGAAATTACATGTGGTATCGCGTAGTTGACCTTGACGCCTCCAACCCGAGAGCCGATCACCCCTTGGCGGGGATATCCCGATGGCAGTAGTATACAGACGTCACTCGTTGTGCCTCCGATGTCACAAACTATAACAGGAGCTTTGCTGTGCTCGCTGGCGGTAGGGAGCTGTCCGATACCGCTCAGATATGCAGCGCCGCGGATGGAATTCGTCGCTCCCGAGGCGAAAGTGCGGATCGGTTGCGCTGAAGAGGCCTCTACCATAGTCCCATCGTTCTGAGTGAGATACAGTGGGCACGCCAGGCCGAGCTTGAGGTTCGCGTACTGACAACGACGAATCGTATGTTTCGCGAAGTGATAGACTGCCGCATTGAGGATTGACGCATTTTCTCGCTCCAAAAGACCCAGGTTTGCGATGTCAGATGAGCACACTACGGCAACGTGCGGCAGTCGACGGTGTATCAGGTCATAGACCCGGTATTCTTGGTTGGTTCGGAGAGGGGAGAAGATACCGACAATCGCTATGGCCTTAATCTTGTTAGCGCTGACTCGGTCGCAGAAGGCCCCTACAGCAGCTTCATCCACTAGCGCTTCTGGGACCCCATCAATGCGTAGGCCCCCGTCCGCGTAGTCGAAGAAGCCCTCGACGATGCCCCGAAGCTCTGAAGGGAAGTCCACGAAAGGCGGAATCTCTCTGGTAAAGCTTTTGGAAAGCCGAAGTATGGCGACTCTGTCCAATTTCCTGGCGTCCCGCTCAGCCACGGCGTTAATGAAGTGTGTAGTACCAACTGCGACGCAGCTAACAAGGCTGCGATTGATCTTGGAGGCTGCAAGTACTTGTGCGACAGCTTGCTCGATCCCAGAAGTCACGTCCGCTGTCGTTGGCGCTTTGTGTGTCGCTATCACTGACCTGATGGGGTCCTTGATCGAAGTGTCCAAAATCACAGCATCGGTGTTCGTCCCGCCGACATCGATACCGATGCGGTAGTGAAAGGTGTCACTGGTCCCCATGACGGGTTTAACGTATCGTGGGGCTGATTTGGGGCGTTCGTGATGTGGTGTGCGGCAGAGGCGAATGGAGGCCTCTCTCAGAGGCCTGGAACAAGAGAACAGCATGCCCTAAAATAGTGCCCATCAATACAACCGATACCCGCGGAGAGTCCGCATTGAGTTCAACATTGCTCCTGATTTGGGAAGGCTTGCTTTTTCCTGTATTGGTAGCACTTGCTTGTTCCTTTCCGTAGATAAGTGCAGCCGTCACTAGCCATAGAGCCATTCCAGCAATGGCGCTTGAAGCCGGTCCAGCGACGCTTAGGGTTTTTAACCGCATCCTTCTCTCCATCATCTGGTTCGGTGTCAATGCCTGGCAAGGCGGATTGGTAACGTACGTTTGCCTGCGCGCTATCTGGCCCAGCATCGACAAAATACACAACACCATTCCTGCGAGCGAGGGCATGACACTGCCGCAGTTTGTCAGCTTCATTGTCTTCTACGTGTTAATGTTGCCCTTCCTCTATCTTCCTCCGCAGTATCTCAAGTATGTCGTCTACACAACTTCACTCGCAGCTTTTGTCGCCCAGCTGGGCCTTGTGGTGAGTCGTCGAGAACCCCTTTGGCAAGATTTCGTTCGCGAATTTGTGATTTCTTCCAATCTCCAGGGTTGGGCATGTGGTACGGCTGAAAATCTTTCTGCTGCACTGAAGGCATCCTCACCGCCGGCCCCGAGTGGCCAGCTGGGATGGCTCTTCTTGTACGGAATCTCGACCACCATGTCTAGCATCACGAGTGGAACTTTGAGCATCTGCGATTACACTCGTTTCGCTAAAGAACCTCAGAGCGGTATCTTCGCAATCATATCTTCTGCATTTCAGAAAGATGCTGATCTTCCCTTGAGGGATCTGGTCACAGCTCGTCGGTGCTGTTCCCGCATGGATTTCAAACGTCTTCGGACTGTTGACTATCGCCGCCACCAGCACACGCTACCATGCAGCCCAATGGAGCGTACCGACTCTCCTAGTAGCTGTGCAGGACGCAGATAAATGCCCGAGAACGAGGGCGGCCGTTTTCTTCTGTGCATTTGCTTTCTTTGCCAACCAGATTGCCCTCAATATCATTGGCAACTCTTTTTCCGGAGGTACCGACATGGCGTCGCTGCTCCCTAGATGGATCAACATCCGGCGTGGGCAATATTTGACCGCCGTACTCGGCCTCGCTACGAATCCGTGGAGGCTGCTCAGCAGTGCCGGGGTTTTCTTGACCGTTATATCCGGATATACTGTGTTCGTCCAGCCTTTTATTGGGATCTTGGTTGGATACTACTTCATCGTCTACAAACAACGTGTTCTGATTGAGCACTTGTATCGAGTAGGTAAAGACTCCTCGATATACTGGTATTTCCACGGTGTCAACTGGCGTGCAATCTTCGCAGTACGTTATGGTCTACTCCTCCTGCTACTGGCTTGCACTGACAATTGGCTCGCGATAGTGGCTGGTGGGAGTGGTACCTCATCTGCCAGGCTTCTTACACGCTGTCAGTTCCACCATCTGGGTCTCCAATGGCGCAGCCCACCTATACCAGCTCACCTCGATCACAAGCTCCCTCTTTGCCTTTCTCACGACGGTCTTGCTTGCGTATCTTTTCCCTGTTAAGAGTCAAGCAGAATATGTTCAGAGCTCGGACCGCGACACTTCTGTTCTTCGCAGTGCGCAATTTGCCGACCAAATGTACTACACGCCTGGACTTGAAATCAGGAAGGAGGTGAGTCTTGGCAGCGATCAGGACGAAGAGAAGTTGGCTGGGATGAAGATCGAAGGAGAAGCATTCAAGGTCCGGCTGAGCGCTGAGATGACTTGATCGATTCGAGGAATACGGCTTTTGGCCGGTCAGATCCGTTGGTTGGCAACAGAGCAGCAATTTCGCCGTGGTCGCTATAGCCTAGAGGTCTAGCTCTACTTCAACACTAGCTGGTTTAGCTGTACATATCAAAACGCCTCCATCAGGCTCTAGAGATCCCGAGACGCTTCCTTTGCACAGCGTCGTTTTGCAGGCTCCACAACTCCCAACGCGACAACCATGGTCAGGTGACAGTCCAACCGCTTCTGCAACCTCCAATATCGACATGGGCTGGTCCTCCGACCAGGATACCGTCTTCTTACTCTTGGCGAACCTTATTGTTGCTTTCTTCATGTCTGTCGCCTCGCTTTCCAGCTTTCCAGCAAAAAGCTCACTGCGAATCATTGCTTCTGGAACGCCAATGTTTTTCAAATGCTGTTTTACGGTAATTTCGAACGCCACTGGGCCACAAATGTAGCAGGTCGACTTGCAGCCCTCGATTTCGATGGGTGTAACGTCAAGTGGGTTGATATGATAGGGGTCTGTGAGGATCTGTCGAGTGTCTTCATCACTTGGCCGTCCTCGGAAGAAGGAGATGTTATCTTCATGGTTCTGAAGGGTTTCCTCAAAAGTCGTCTCATCCAGCTCGCAGGTCAGGAAGATGTATTTCTTAATCAGCTTGTGTCCACTTGCTTTTAGAATCTCGTCCAAGTGAGGAATATTGTCCTTGTCGGATGCAACATGGATCCACACTGCCGGTGCCTTGCTCACGGCATAGTGTTGAAGATGTGCCTTCATCATGCTTATCATTGGTGTGACACCGATTCCAGCGGAGAGGTAAACTTGGCGACCGACCCACTGCGGCGTCCAATCTAAATGAAAGCGGCCTGCTGGCGATCGCACTGAGAGAATATTTCCTACAGTGCAGTGGTCGTACATCCATGCGGAGCCTTGGTTTTGACGTTTGATTGACACGCGATAGTGAGCCGGTTCGTGGTGGCTGGGCCAGTCTGAGATGGTCCAGCTTCGAGTGAGGCCACTGGGAAGCTTGACGTTAATGAATTGACCGGGCAGATAATTTGCAAGCGGCAGGCTGTCTTTCTGGAGAGGCTTGAAGTAGAACGACTTGATCTCAGGCGCAGGCTGTTCGACCCTTTCGACACGCAAGTCACGCCAACTTTTCCACGCTCCTTTCCCAAGATAATCGTCGTCTTGCAAGGCGGAGATTTTCCGGGCAAAAAGGAGCCTGTTCATGCCAAACAGCAGAGGATCTTTTGCAAGTATGTCCATGACATCCCTGCTCTTCAGACCGCGACAAAAGGCTAGCTGCGTGATGGCGGCCACGTCATGAGCACCTGGTGCGCCTGGTTGGATCAGTTCGGCCTTATCTCCCGGGCGAACGATACCGCCCTCAATGACTTTCATATAGACTCCAGCTCTACCCGAGTCGGCAAGCTCTTTCAACCATTTATCTGGCTGTTGAAGTCGCCAGGAGAGCTTGAAACACGGCACCCGGGCGCCGCAGACTTGTAGTTTAACATTCCTCCCTACCAACCAAACATCACCCAGGCGGAAATCGCGTTCGTCGAGAGCTGTCGAGAAAGTGATGTTCTCACCCCACGTGCCCCATTTCCAAGTGGCTGGATCCACGTCAAGTCTCCGAGCCCAGTACTCGTAGTGTTCTTTGAAAAACACGTACACATGGGCATTGTGCGCCGCCAGGCGGTTTTCGGTAACGCCATTCTGCTGCAATTGCAAGGTCGATGCGGATTCGTGGACGATAGAGGTCTGGAAGCGAAAGCCTTTCGATTCGTACCATTGCGGGGTTCCGACGCTGACGTCTATGACCTCCATGGTAGCGCCTTGGCTTCGTAAGAGTATGGGGCTTCCGGTCAAACTGGTCTCAGCTCTGGCGAGGAAATTTGATACTTTCGCATGATACCAACACCGATGCTCAACAGCTGACACTGCTTGGACAACGGGGCTGTACATCAGCTTGAAAACTGGGTGGACACTACATGGTGTTCCGGACACTCCGCGGAACATCCGCTGCGGGAAAGAGGCTGACCAAGCAATCAGGCTACTCGCAAGGCTTCCTTCCGAGGACGAACGGCGTTTGCAAATTTGACAACCTGACAGCCACTCTACGGCGGCGATTGTTCATACTCGAATGGTGCTAGGGCTTATCGGGTTCGCTAAGTTCGACGTGGGACGGGCAATCCGCGGAGATGGCTTGGTTCTTATCTAGCACATTTTACTGTCACCAGTGTGGGCGAGACCAGCCTCTGAAAGCCATTACCGATGCCTCGATCTGTAACCCAGGTCGCTTCGTCTCAACATTTGCATCTCGATATGCGTTCAGAACTTTCGGTCTCTCGATCGCTTTGGATGTCTTGCAGGAAACGTCGCGTCTCTACACTTCCGCGTATACTGCATTGTGGAAACGAGACAGACGCTAGAACAGAGCCGCTGAGCGAAAATCGCCGCATTCCGTGGCCGCACCTGATGCAAGCAGATTGGAGAATTCATAACCTAGCTTTGCCCGACATCTAGGCCCACAGCAAGGATGACTGTCCAGGCTTGAGCTGCCGACATCACGCGGAGCCACTTTGACACTCCTCGCACCCGAGCAAACCCCATTTCTAGTTTTTAATTCCAGGTGGAACCCTACTGATCTGTTCTTGCCGTTCTATGATGCTTGCGGCGGTCTTTTCGTTCTCAGCATGGACTTTATCACCATCAGAGCAAAGAGCGAGCCTACGCCCGCAATGGAAAGACAGTGAACTTTCGAGACTCATTTTTTTGATCATTTCACCTGGGAGTTGCTGGGTTTGTGTCGGCACTATGTTGCTGACGTTCTCCATGTTCTGGCTACTATCATATCTGCCGCATCTTCGATCTCTTACAACATGCCCTGTCTCGTACTACAGCACGCTGAGGATTATGCCATTGGGCGATTCGATAACAGAAGGCTACGGAAGCAGCGACTACAATGGGTACAGGCTCTTCTTACATCAGAAGCTTTCGGCACACCGATGTGTGCGAGAGAAATTGGAGTTCATTGGTAAGCTTGTGTATCTTGCTCATCTCGATCCGGAGATGGATCCCTACTGACGACAAGAAAGGCAGTCAAAAGTCAGGATTATCTCCCGTGAACCAGAACGAAGGATATAGCGGCGCAGATCTGGAGACCTTGCTTACTGCACATCACGATGGTTGGATGCAATCACTTGTACACCAAAGGCCTCATGTGGTGCTTTTGCACATTGGAACGAACGACATGTCACCTCTGCGTCGAGCGGACCAGGCCACACCCGTGGAAGCTCCGCCAAAGCTTGACGAATTGATTCGTGACATCCTTCATCTGTCACCAGTCGTCACGCTCCTGGTCGCCCAAATCATATCGTCGCCCAAATCATATCGTCGCCCAAATCATATCGTCGCCCAATCCTTGATGGAAGGGCAACAGTCCGGCATACAATGACGCGATTTTGGGCATCGTGGCTAAGTACCGCGAGAAAGGTTTCAAAATCGCGGCGGTGGACATGAGAAGGATAGGAGCGGAATTTATCAGACAATTTGATGCGTCGATGAAAGAATGTAAAGACTTGATTGAAGATGGTGTTCATCCCACAGACGAAGGGTACCGGAAGATGGCAGAGGAATGGGAGAGCGGTCTCGTCTCCGCCCACGAGTTGGGTTGGCTAAGGATGTGAGTCCTCGTGATATCTATCCCGAAACTGTGGCCAATGACCAACAGAACATGAGTCTACGTTGCGAAGACGACCTCGGTACGTAAAGACTGGCACAACTAGAACGAGTTTCAGTCCAGGGCCAAGGTTGCCGGGGGATGTAAGGAGCGATCACATCGGCTCTGAATACTACTTGGTCCCCCTACTGGTCTTCATCAATCTAGTATTGCTACTAAACAGAGGCTTTTGTTGTGATGAGGCGAAGGGAGGCTGGAATTGTCGTTCTCAACCTCTAAGCCTCGAAGGATTTTGGGCGCTCATCGTCATGCCCTAATGTACCAGCCGCAAGTGCCAGGGGTATGTTAACGAATGTCAGGGCTCACATAAAGACACCACTTCTGGGGGGTCAATGGATGAGCTATCGCCCCAACTATCTTCAAGATTTCTCTGGGAGTACGCTACCTTTGAGATGCACTGGACAATCCTTGATGGGCCCCTGTGAAGTTGTGTCTAGAGTCCGGACGTCACTAGAGGGCATCTGCTAACATTTAATTTCTCTATGGCAGACTGTGGCCCCGCCCGCTGGTACCAACTTTTCCACGATGAATGAATATCCGCTGAACGCATGTTGTGATGCCTTCGGCCAGGTAAGCAGTTGCATCTTCCCGCTTGAGCGTTGACCCAAACCCCAACAAGACGTATAAGCTGACAGATTTGGAGTGCGGAACTACTGAAGAGTTCTGTACTAATACGAATACTGGAGTCCCGGGCTCACGCGCACCGGGTACCAATGGCTGTATCTCCAACTGCGGCACAGATGTGGTCATTGGCGCGAAGCCCTCGACTTATATGAAGTTTGGTTTCTACGAGGGCTACAACTTGGGACGCCCATGTCTATATCAGACCCCAGGTCAGATTGACACCTCCAATTATACGCACTTGGGATATTCGTTCGGCACGCTCTCCACCGACTATGAAGTTCAGATTGGCGACCCCCTGTCCATGTATACATGGGATGAGTTCCTGCGCTTGGAAGGGCCGTCCAAGATTCTTGTCATTGGACGCTGGGCATTTTCCACCGACACGGATACTTACAACATCTTTCGTATGTGCCACCCTCTTTCTCAATTGTATATTGGAAAAATGCTGACCTCGGTCTTCCTCATCAGGTCAAGGAGTCACCGCTGAGAATCGTCAGACTATGGCCAACAACATCGCCACATTCGTAAAGAACAGCAACGTTGATGGCGTTTGCATCGATTGGGAGTACCCTGGAGCGCCCGATATTCCTGGCATACCTCCAGACAGCCCGGATAGCGGAATGAACTACTTGGAGTTCCTTAAATTGCTGAGGACTGCACTTCCGAGTAACTCCCAGCTCTCCGTTGCAATGCCAGCCTCCTACTGGTACTTGAAGAATTTCCCTGTCAGCGACATGTCGGGAGTGCTTGACTATGCCATTTTCATGACATATGACCTGCACAGCACGGTGCGTAACATGGCCAGCCTAGGGGGCAGAACACCAGGCTGACCTTTATAATTCCAGTGGGACGGGGGCAACCAATATTCTCAAGAGCGCTGCTCTACCGGCGACTGTCTTCGTAGTGATGTTAATCTCACAGAGACGATCAACTCCCTGGCGATGGTAAGCTTGGTGTCGTACATTGCCCACTTCAGACTTCTTCTAATGCTGCGACAAGGTTACGAAAGCCGGACTGCCGTCCACCAAAGTGGTCGTTGGTACAACTAGCTATGGACGATCTTTCAAGATGGCTCGAGCTGGCTGCGACGGGCCAGATTGCATGTGGGTTAAACAAAAAGCCGGAAGGCTACTCCTCCGAGTTTCTTAGGCGTTCACTGACCTTGTTCTCTTCATTACAGGTGGGTAGGCTCAGCTGGGCAGTCTGAAGCTGAACCAGGCCCATGTACTCAGACGGCAGGCTATCTTGCAAACGCCGATATCGAAGCGATCATCAACAACGCCAGCCGGGTGACCAAGCAATATCTCGATTCGACAAGTGACTCGACCATCCTTGTCTACGACGATGTGCAGTGGGTTGCGTACGAATCAGACAGCCTACGCGACACTCGTGCGACCCTTTATCAAGGCAGTACGTGCCCCTGAGAGTTCACTGTTCCCCTTTCCTTCGAGACAAATGCTGATCACGATCCGCCTAAGTCAACATGGGCGGTGTTTGTGACTGGGCAATCGATCTGCAGACATGCAACGAGCCACCAAGTCGCTCGAATTCATGGGCAGAGTTCATTTCTGCTGTCAACGTCGGATCAGATCCGGCGGACGTCGGAAATCGTACGGGCAATTGGACTACACTCACCTGTACCGACGACGCGGTAACCAACATTCGAGGCTTGACGCCACAAGAACGCTGGGATGAACTCGACTGCAAGGACGCATGGACGGATGTGATCTCGGTATGGCAGAACATTGACCAAGGCCACGATAGCTTGAGCTTCACCGAATCTATCTCCGACACGCTACATGGCCCAGAGAATGCCAATTGCAGCCAGGCTGGGCCTTTGAGTAACTGTGAGCAGACCCAACAGTGTTCCGACTTTGTTGGTGAAGGCACCGGCCCTGCGGGCTACGAGATTTGGAATTCCATGGTTTACATCAACGAGGTAAAGCAGATTCGGGCGCTAGCCTTCCAACAATCTGGAATTTGCCATAGACGGTTCTGACTGACTGGCTATAGATGTACACGAGCTTCATCGATGCCATTACAGGATTCGCAGCACTTTCGATAGACAGCTCGCTGTCCAGCTTCGAGGATACGTTCGCGCCGGTGCCGCCACCTCCTAGCGACGAGGTTGCCCAACTCATCATTGCTTTTGTCACCCTAGGGGCCTCCGCGATCGCTGCACCATTCTTTAATTCCAGCAAGTCAAGTAATATACTCTTCCGCATCGGAGAATGGTAAGACCTGTGAGCTGATTTCGATACTAATCCTCTCACAGTCTTCAAGTCATTGCCATATTTTGCAGCAAATCCCAACATATTGGGCATTGACAAAGATCTCACGAGTGCGTTAATCACCTTCGGATCTAATGTTGCAAAGGATGTCATTACAGGTGGCCCAGGGTAAGTGCACAACCTCTTTGAGAGAGCTTCTATTCATCCCACCAGCACGTGAAACGCGGTTTGATGCTGCTTTCTATAGAACTGTACTGACTAGAAAGCAGAAGTGCTTGGACGGTGGAAGATCAAGACTCATTTTCCGCTTACTTGGGTCAGATCGTATTTGGCTGCAGCAACGCTACTACATACACTCTCGCAGGCCTGTTCAACGGTTCTGATGCCGGTATTACTACACTTTCAACAGCCATAGCCGACAGCCATTTCATCGAAGGAAATACAGGAACACCACAGACGTCGACGCTCAGCTCGGAAACGATATCTGACCTGGAAGCGGCTATGACTAGGGTGTTCTATGGCTTTGCTATTCCATTAGCGTGGTCCGCAACAAACAAAGGAGTCATTGTCATGGATACGGGATACACCTGCGATCAGGCACCTCTTAGCGCTGATACCCTGTTAGAACTCAATCTTGATACAGCAGACGGCACTCAGGCTTCTAGTTGCTATAACAATGAGATCTACTATCTTGTCTACTATGACACAATGGACCTGCAAGGCGAGTCTGGCGATCCCCCGGATGATACATTCGAACCAGCTCCAGGCTCGTCAGACCTAGATGGAACAATATGGGGGACCGTCACAGTAGACGACATTGTCAAAGGAGCCGTTCGAACTTATCAACAAAATGGCAACGAGAATGGAGGGGCGGTCGCGGATCCTACGCACCCTGGCACCCTTGCAGATCTGCAGAATGTAGACATCACCACACCCGGCTTTATACGGATTCCAGTCTGCAGCTCCGGCGAAGCTCAAAATGCTGTGAGTCCTCATTACTCGAACCGAATCAACGCCAGTGATCCGAACAATCCGTGTGTCCCTTTGCAGGGCGTCACAGAATGTGAAAGCTTTACCTACACCAGCGAGACTAGTTCCGCCTCTGCCCTGGTCTCTGATTGCCAGGACATCATCAACAATATCCAACAGACAACGAGGCTATGGAATGCAACGCTGAACATATACATAGCTAGCTAAGTAGCCTAGTCGTCGAATGGTCGCACATTCATTCACTTGCAATTCGCTGCCCTGATCCATCGGAGAAGACTCCTGTTTTCCTCAAACGTGCAAGTTACGATACCTTCGCCAGACCGGCTGCCTTAAATTAGCTCTAAGTGAGCGGACAGGCAACGGGGTACTTCGAAGGTGCACTTTCGAGCGGGTGGAGTCACTGCGAAGTCGATGAATGTGGATTTTTGGGTTTCCGCAAGTCACATGCTTCCATGCAGCCAGCACATGGTAGCAGTATAAAATAGTTCGGGGGCGTACACATACACATGGCAAGATAAGCCCCATTTTCGAGACTTCAAGAAGTTCCAGCTCAGTCGTGGGATGTGACCGATGGGCTTCAAATTGTTGTAGTCACTGCACTGCGAACGAGATTCGCATCTAATTCATCCGGCATTTCCTCGCGGCGCGAATGATGCGTACCCATCCGTGCGATCTAAAGAGTCGGCACTTATCCATCTCGCATTTATCGTGGCGAACGTCCAACAAGTCCAGACCTCTACGCCAGACGCCGCAGTGACGCAGCCTCACCATCCCGGATGCATCCGTGTACTTGCGGTTACCTCCGCGTCCTCAACACTCTTCCATTCGCATTTGTTCGGCGCAATTTCGATGAGTTCTAATTATGTGCTTCTGAGCGATGTCGGCAAGTCGTGATGTAGTATACATCCTTAGCTCACGCACGACTGTCTCCTGGCGCCCTTCTGTCAAGCCGAATTGTGTGGAGTTCTATACCTCGGGGAAATCCGAGAACAAGATGGCACAGCAAAGCGCTTTGAAAGCGATCGGACGCTTTGCGTCTTGTGATGTGAGGCTGTTGCATAAGCAGTCGACTGATTGAAAAGCTGACCTTATTTTCACAGGTCGCCGACGCTTTAGTCAAACTCGGTCATCCATACGGAGGTTACATGCACGGCATCAGGATGTTCTCGCCCGTTGCACAAGGCGGAGATACCAAGATTTTCGGACCTGCTTACACAGTAGGTATTGCTAGCTTTCTTTGAACGCCTGGATGAGGTCTTGCCTCATCGCATCTACTCTCGATTGCTAATTGCTTATTATGCAGGTGCTCATGGTCGACGCAGCGGACAAGAGTTCGCCGACGCCATCGTCGCACTTCGTGGACAACATACCGGATGGTAGCGTGGTAATGATATCTCAGCCTCGCTCACTTTTCACCGCTTGCTGGGGTGGCTTAATGGCTACTCGTGCCCAGAAGCTCGGGGCGAAAGGCATCGTTATCGACGGTAACTTTCGCGATATCAATGAGCATCGCGAGCTAGGCATGCCAGTACGCTTCGTCAAAGTTCCAATTCACGAATAAAGCTTGCTGATATGTTTTTAGATGTTCGCTCGTGCAATAGCTGCCTCAGGGTCTGCATCCTTCACTCGCAGTGCTGCGTTCAATGTGCCAATACACTTCACGTCAGAGACGCAATTGCGGCCGTTGACCATCAAGCCTGGCGATTATATCCTTGCAGATGCCGACGGTGTTGTGGCCGTGCCGCCTGAGAAAGCTGAGGAATGCCTAAAGCTGGTCGAAGAGAGAGCACGCATTGATGAGCAGACTCTGGCCGCTCTGAAGGCTGGTGAGCCTATGGGTCCCGTGATTGCTCGTCTGCGAAAGTAGAAGGCATGGCCCTGCCACCCACTCAGTCCGACAGCCCGGACTAAAACGCTCATGGCCACGATACGCATTTCTAAGTTGAAGGCACGTCGAAGTTCCAAGTTGCGTCAGACGAGCCCGTGGGAACGGCTTGCAGGTTGTCAAATAGATCTGAAAATTGATAGTCGTTCTGCATGAACGACCTCAGCATTTCTTCGATGTCGTTCGGATCCCAGAGCTCAGTGTCCTGGCCAGGCTCATCAAGGCTTGGCGTAAGTGGCAGGGTGGTTTGCGTGGTGGGAACAGGAGGCTCGGTGGTTGATGGAAATAGAAACGTATTGGTGGTTATGTCAACCAGAGATTGAAAGCTTTGGCAGCATCGACGTGCAGGTGTCCACCACGCACCTCCGAGGGTTAGAAGGTTGGTACACAAGCGTAGGTCCTTGGAAATCTGAGAGATCAGCATTGATGATCGAACGTCTGGTGAGGCCCACATGCAGAATATGAGTGTCGTCCCAGCCAAGAAAATGCCATGCGTGACTGGCCAGCTCAAAATCAAGGCCTGGTGCTCGTGCAAAGACCAGTACATGTTCAATCTTTTGACAGCACTGTCAAAGCATCGCTTCAAAGCGGCCGAGTCAGGATGTCGGCAGCTGATCGAAGGTTGATACAGGAGACACATCGCGTATTCGTGTTTGATCTTCAGCTCGGTCTTGAGGGCTAGTGCTCTCTTGTCGATGCTCGTGTCCAATTGTCTCAATGAAGTAAATCTCCATTCGTCCAGTCTAATATGCAAGCTGGATTGTGTCTCCCTGCGCGTTGAGCCTGCCATGGCGGAGGAAGAGAATCGATACAAATGATACTTGATTTCGGAGATCAGCTGTGCCCATTGGAATCGTGCGATCGAGTAGTCCATCAAAGCTTGGTCATCTGCTGAAGCGGTGCTCTCCCCAGAATCGATCATGACGGGGAGAGCCAGTTCTAACGTATCGTCTTGAAAGCCCAATGGTCGTCCCTGGACTGAGCTAATGAACCTATGGTAGGTTGTCAGTGTTGCGGCAAACGTCATTGACTGTATATCATACTCACCTATCCAGGACGTACAGACAGAAGAACACCCTTCGTCGCATCTGCACGTTCTCGAGAGTGAACCGTGATGAGTCTTGAGCGGCACGATGCAGGCCCAAGTCCACAGCGTAGGCCATGCCTAGGTGCAAAAAAACCCACGGATTGCCGCTCTGACCACTGATAAAGCCGTGCAGTATGGAGAGTACTATCAGTTGTACCGACTCGAGTGAAACATCCCCCAGGCTCCGCGACATGAGCTGCACAGCGAGATCTTCATAGGGACGGGGATCAGATCCGAATTTGTGCCTGTGATTCTGTAGATGGGCAGCAGCGGCCAGGATGTAGAGAAGTTGCGCAGCGGCAGTAGTCGGCGAGATCGTCACTGTGTCTTTGCCACCTTTGCCCAGTGCTTGGCCATTGTATTTGAACGCTGGCATGTCCACAGGCCATCCGTTCGGACCAAGGCTGTCTGGGGAAACAACATGTAAAGCAGCGTATAGAGCCGTGACCAAGGAGTAGACACTGGGCTGATGTAAGACCGGATATTCGGGATGATAGTGATGGAAGAACAGTCGAACATGGAGATTGCATTCGTCTTGTGTAGGCAGGACCTATCTCCAATATCAGCACCAGTGAGTAATGAGGCACGAACTACAGACCTTCTGAAGCTTTTTGAGAACAGCGAAATGTCCACGGAAGGAAGCCCCATGACCACTGGATCCCACGCCGTCCTCAATGTCACTACTTTCAGCTGACTCGTCCTGGCCAGTGATTGGATCCTGTGTCTCACGATGGTCTTGCAGCAGATCGGCAAAGAAATGTCCAGACGATGCTCCAAGGTAGTGCGTTCTGGAGTTGCTCACATTCAAGGAGACTAGGCCCAGATCACGGGCCATACGTTTGCCATGCTCGACTGGAGTGCCAGGACTGTCCAGGCCGGCTGCATCCGCTCGACGCTTGGCTGTCGATACTGCAGTCGAAAGAGGCTGCACTGTCTCGGTATGTGCTGCCCCAGGAAGCGATTGTGGAGTTCCTCCTGTGAGATCGACGTCCGGCAGATGTGTTTTCACTATGTTTTCGAGCCACTCAACTCTCGACAATGCATCTGATAAGAGGCTGTGTGGCTCGAACTATCAGTGACCCTCCATCAGGCAGATTGGCATCAGCTCACCCTCTAGGCACTGTTCCAACACTGGCGACCGTGCTCACATCGATGCACTGTACGCCTGCTTTCTCGCATTTGGAACAAGACGGAGCGCTCCCGTCGCACTAGATGCACCGTATAAGCCATGCGCACAAATGGCCAGCGTTCCGCAATGCATGCCTTGATTCTGCGATCGCGGCATCTCTGACACGCGATACGGACTTTGCGTTCACGCGGAGCCGTCGGCGTGTTCATAATTTGCGAGAGTATGGAGTCTTCCTGCTCAGAGTGGGAATCAGGATGAATGGTCTGGAAAGAGAAGGGTGTGATGTTGACATGGAGTGTTCCGGCTGTGCCGGCTGGCGGCAACTCTCTTGACGGAGAGCTCCTTCGATCAACTCCGGCATCGGTCCGCAACGCCTACGAGAATAAGGCTGGCTCTACTGGCTCTCCTGACAACCCTCCAAATCGGCCCCCACCTCCTGCCCGGAACTATATATGCCTCACACGACACTCGCTCCTAGGCCACAGCAACGTCTCTGGACAAAACAATGAACCGGGGGTTAAGGCTTTCTGACTATCAAAGGCTTTAGTAAGAAGAAAGACATCAAGAACGATAATCGAAGTGCGTTGAATTTGTTTAATTTGATCAAATCATAAAGATGTCGTGTTTTGTAGACAACAACTTTTTGAATTTTGTGGTCTTGGTCGCAAGTGGCTGGAGGTGCTGTTTCGCGGCCTGTCAGAGCGGAGCCGCAAGGGCAGCCTGACCCTGCATTTAGAGCCTTTAATAAGCGTTCACTTGTTGTCAACCGCGGGAGGCTACAAGAAAGGAGACGAATAGAGAGTCGACGTACAATTGCTACTAGAGGCCTTTACAAGTTAGCATCGCTGGAGTGGCTACAGGAATCTGCCCGGCAAGGATCGTGATCGCGAGCTTTGCCGAGCCCGAGGCTGAAAGGAAGCAGAGAGTTCGCTGTTGTTCTTTCTCCAAGAGTCTCATCATGACTTGAACGTCTCTATCATTGTGCATGGGTTGGTGCTTCGCTGAGTTGGAATGTTGCGCAGTGTCAGATGACTGCATAAATAGCACCCTTATAGCTGTGTCATGAGGGACGTTCCTTTTGGCCAACCATTTGTTACGCATCCATAGGAGCGCGGCGCATATTGTAGGGCTGTCTCGGAATTCACACACGCAGGATACTTTGGCGTCGAACGAAGGATTTCCGGACGAGGCCAGTCGATTGTGCCCTAGAATGTTATTCAACGTGTTGCTGGCGTTTCAGCTTGTGGTGCCTCGATCTTTACAACAGCATGTTCCGCTCATTTCCCGCCTGCAAGATCAAGTCAAGAACCTCTCCCTTCAGTGTGTTCAATATGGCCGCATCCTTTGGTAGAGATGATCATAAAAGCGTGGAAGACAAAGAGGGTCACCGTGGAGCTACAAGCAATGAAAGCCCTGAACAGGACGCATCAAACGACGTCGAAATGGGTGCGAAAGAGAGGCAAAAGGCAGCAGGTCCCCCAATGCCGCCTCCGCCTGTGGACTCTGGATGGCTATGCTGGCTCCAAGTCGTGGCATCGTTCGCCATGTGGGTGAACTCATGGGGTAAGCTCACAAACATGACATGTACCTCAACTATTGACCTTCGCGATGAATAGGAATTGTCGCTAGCTTCGGAGTGTTCCAAACGTATTACGAGATCACGAACCTTTCGAACAAATCGTCAAGCCAGATTTCCTGGATTGGCAGTATACAAGGATTCTTGTTGTGCTTCGTGGGACCGTTATCAGGGGGCTTGTTTGATGCTGGGTGGTGCAAGGCCCTGGTCATTGCGGGACACTTTCTCGTTGTTTTTGGGCTCATGATGACGAGGTAAGAGTGGATGTGGTTGGTGATTCACTTGACGAGCTCGCTGAACAACATCTAGTATCTGCGAAGAGTATTGGCAGGCTGTGTTGGCACAAGGCATCGTCGTCGGGCTAGGCATCGGCATGCTGTACATTCCCAGCACTGGCATCGTGCCCCAATACTTTGTCAAGAAGCGAGGACCGGCTACCTGCCTCGCAGCTACCGGTAGTGCTGTCGGTAAGACAAGAGCGGTGAGCGTTACATCGTTTTCGCGCTGACAATTAGCAGGCGGCATCATATATCCCATCATCTTCCGCGAGCTCCAGCCTAAAATCGGTTTCGGATGGGCAGTGCGTGTTCAAGCCTTCGTTGCCCTCTTCCTTGGTGTCGTAGCCAGTGCCGTGATCAAGAACAAATCACCTCCTGTCAAACCGAAACAACTGATCGATCCCGAGTTCCGGCGCCACACCCCAATGGTGCTATTCACGGCTGGCGCATTCTTCCTTCTCTTAGGACTCTTCGTTCCAGGGAACTATATCGGTGTATATGGTCTATCATCGGCAGGACTCAGCGAAGACATGGCCTTCTATGTGGTAGCAATCATGCAGGCAGGTAGTGTTGTTGGCAGACTGTGAGCATCATCCACTTCCCGTGAAAACGACGACTTACCTCTTCTCCAGGCTCCCAGCACTATGGGTGGACAAAGTTGGAGCTGTAAACGTACTCGTTCCTGCCATGCTTGCAAGTGGCATCCTCACACTCTGCTGGATTGCGATCAAGAATGAGCCGGGTTTAATCGTATTTGCGATTCTTTTCGGAGCCGGCTTCGGTCTTGTCTTTGCCATGATGCCGCTCTCGGTTGTGATGCTCTTGAAAGGGGATATGAAGAAGTTTGGGACGTATCTTGGGATGGTGATGTTCTTTTCATCCCCGGGGTTGCTGATCGGCAACCCTGTTTCTGGCGCGATCGAAGACGACTCCGATTACACTGGATTGCAGGCGTTTTCTGGTTGCATTATGTTTTTGGCGGCATCACTGTTTCTCGCAGCTCGAGTCTCTGCAGTCGGATGGAAAATTGTTAAGATTTAGATCTTGCGACAACGGCTGCCGCGTGGATTCGTTATCGGACAGACAGCACACTCGGTCTTGGATGTAAGGAGCTCGCCCAGGAAAATCTGGAGCGTACTCACATGCAGCCAGTGCACAACCGATGTTGTATTGTCAGATGACAACATGAACCCTCGGCAAGCCCATTCCTAATGAACATATTGCATTGAGTAGGACGGATTCGCCGTCAGGGAATGGTTCGCGGCGCCTTGTGGTTGGACACCTCTTCGCGATGCACTCGCAACATTTCGAACATGGAGTCCAGGGCGTCATGTCATGATGGGCACATTTTGTTATAACAAAATTTGTAGTGCAGACCGAAGTTCTTCTATACTTATTTCCTCAACATGAACAGACCGTAGTGCGGAACATCGTCGTACGTCGAGAGTTCACCCGCACCCGCACCACCATTATGTTCTTCGCCATACTTGATCGAATTGATCATAAAGTCAGGAGGAACCTGATTCACGCCCCATTGAATCGGTTCGTGAAACTTCGTGAAACCCTGCTCCTCGCGCAGCTGCCTCCCAGACATCCTTCCGCAAATGATGTGTCGAAATCCAGGTCTCCTGCCGGCGTTGCCGAGTGGTAATGATCGTAGACTCCATCAGCGACTTCCTTGTTGATAGTAGTGTATAGCCCGCCAGATGCTATTGGCAAAGGACGTTGCTCACATTCTCGCCGGATATACTCGACAGGGTCGTTGGCCGGTGGCTGCGTATCAGCAACGAGACGGCCTCCTGGCTTCAAATTGAGCAGTACGTTTCGAAACATCTCCAACATCGCCGAACCAGTGGCCGCATAGTTGAGATACCATGCGCCGAATATCACATCAAATGGACCGCCGGGAAATATGGTGGGCGTGTCGCAGTTGGCTTCGATGAATTCTGCATCATCGCTGGCGTTCATGGCTCTTGCCTGCTCTATCATTGCGGAAGATATGTCCACGCCAACGACTTTGCAGGGGCCCCACTTCACGAAGTGACGGGAGTAGAAGCCTGTGCCGCACGCTAGATCCAGAACCGTTGCGTCTTGAATGAATAGCGTTACGAGGGAGCGGACGTTCACCCGCTCGACGATGGGTATTGTCTTCTTGCGAAGCTCATCGTACGGTCCCTGGATGGCGTTGTATTGCGTAGACATCTCGTCGGCATCGATGGAATGGTTCATAAAAAGACTTTGATGAGTAGTTAATGATAGCGGTGTCCACTATGTCGATAGCTAGGCTCGTGCGTGGCGAGAGCAGAGCGGGGCGTCATGCTCCTGCCAAATCGGGAAACCAGCCCGCTGGCGCAAGGCTGTGGGTGTGGAATGGCAAGTCGAACTCTACTTGCATGAGTGTTTTTGCGTCATCTTCTTGGAGCGAACGCAACTGAAATGCAAGATATAGAATTCAAAGCCGAAACCCTTAGTTTAAAAGTGTGAGATTCTGAAAGTTACATCATTTCCCTCGCAGCGGCTGCCTCTTTACGTTCGCACGAGCTGCCTCTTTCCAGATGCTATCGAGCCTCACCGGGAAGCCTAGCTGTCCTACTGTGCCACTCCATAACATCAGATATATACACTAAAAAGGAAGTACTCGAAATTTTTTAAATCTACATCGTTGACTTCACTTTCTTCTCAAAATCATAGCATCCATGCTCCATTGTTAACACTGCTTCTTCGTCAGATCTTCTTGTTTCATCGCCATGAACATGTTCAAATTTCCACTATTGAGCCTCTTGAGCATCGCACACCTGATCTTCGCATCATCACTCTGCAACTCCAACACCTTCCATCCACCACCCAAAAAAGGAGTCCAAATCCTCCAAATCAACGCCAACGAAGTCCACAACCACACACGCTTCTCTCTCGCCCCAGGAACTTCTCCGTCCTCAGGCAAGCTCTACATCATCAACTTCTGCAACATCACCCTAACCTACCAACACCCCGGGTGGAATGACACCGTCAACATAAACGTGTGGCTGCCTCTCTCAGGCTGGAACGGTCGCCTCTGGGCTCTCGGCGGCGGCGGATACAGCGCAAGCTATGGGTCCATCTACCTCGCCCAAGCAGTCGGAAAGGGATTCGCTGCCATAGCCACGGACTCGGGACATCAGGCTTTTGTGCTGCATCAGAACTCTTTGGAGTGGGCGCTTCTCAGATCGGGGAATCTGAATCTTCCGTTGATTGAGGATTTTGGGTATAGGACTCTGGGCGAGCTTGCAGATTTTGGAAAAGCTGTTACTACAGAGTACTATGGTCGACAACCGGATTTATCCTATTTCAATGGGTGTTCTGGTGGAGGACGGCAGGCCATGGCGATAGCGCAGCGACATCCGCAGGCTTTCGACGGGGTCTTGGCGGTGGCGCCGGCGATGTGTAAGTAAATATGTCGTACTCACCATGAAAACAGTTCGATCAAGCTGACAATGCGTGCTGCGTTGTCAGCCTATAACATTCTCGTCCCAGCTGGATACTGGGCCACGCATACGATGCACCAGCTCTGCTACTATCCACCGCCATGCGAGGTCGACGCTTTCACCAGCGAGGCGGTTAAGGCTTGCGATTCTCTAGATGGATTAACAGACAGAATCATATCGGCTCCGACACATTGCCATTTCAAAGCGGCAGATGTCGTGCGCAAAGAGTTTTCTTGCAACGGCACAGCCGGACGTTTCTCAAGCGCTGGAGCGACAGTCGTCCAAGCGGCATGGGATGGGCCTCAGAATGCTGGTCCTGGTGGTTATAGCTGGCCTGGACTGAATCCTGGCGCTGCACTGACGACGTTGTATATTCAGACCAATTGCTCTGCGAACGGCACATGCACAGCGACAACCAACACGCTCTTCTCCAACTGGTACAAATACTTACTGGCCCAGGACCCTAAGTACAACTTGTCGGCAATGACCAACGAGCAATACTTCTCATACATCAGATCGTCCACATCAGACTTCATGTCCACAATAAGTGCAAGCAATCCCGACCTCTCGGCCTTTGCACAGGCAGGCGGAAAACTCCTCAGTTGGCAAGGCACGGCCGACGAGAACACCCCCACTCGACAGACCATCAACTACTACACAGAGGTGTTGAGACTGGATCCACGAGTCGGGGAGTACTACCAATTCTACGAAGCCCCAGGGGTTGGGCATTGCTTTGGCGGCGCGGGACCCGTTCCTAATGGTGCTTTTGATCAGTTGATGGCGTGGGTGGAGAATGAGACTGTACCAGAGGTTCTTTATGCGGGCAATGGGAGCCACCCTCGACCGCTGTGTCCGTATCCTCTGGCTCAGACTTTCGTGGGTAATGACTCGACCGCTGTGTCCGTATCCTCTGGCTCAGACTTTCGTGGGTAATGAGACGGATGGTGGACATAAGTTTGCATGTGTGACGCCTTCGCCGAATGTTTGTAGTTAGCTAGTGCTCTATCTTTATCTTCAGACCGATGAGATGTACAGCATTGGTCGAATGCTGCTTTGTGATTGTACCAGCCTCGTTCCTGTACAGATGTCGCTAAGTGCCCCTTATGGCCAGCGGCCACGTGGGAGTGGATGTCGTATGCCTTCGAATTTAACTGCTCCCGGTCCTACAGGGTTGATGCCACGTCTGTCCGAGTCTCATCATGACAGCCCCAATAACTGCTTGGCGAAAGCCACTTCCTCTGTCGTACCACAAATCAATCCACCTCTCTCGTCACAGTCTTCGATCGGTTTGCTCAAGATATCCTCGCCACTTGTTGGATCGACCGCACTCGCACCCACACACTCCATGATGAGCGCGATTGGGGTGAGTTCGTAGAGACGGCGTAGCTTTGCCTTGCTGGTAGCGGTCACCGGTGACACATAGATTCCGTGGCCTTTCACCAGTGCATGGACAACATCTGGTACAAGTCCACCGCTGTATCGAAGGGTATATTTGCTGCGCATGTAGTGCGTCACTAGCTGGAAGTACTTCTCATCATCTGCAGCAGCCCGCAAGTTTGCTGGTGCGAAGTAGCGAGTCTTGAAGGGGCCTGTGGGCATCTCGACCCTCGGTTGAACGATGGTGCAAGTGGACAGACCGTCCTTCTGGTCGAGGCCAACTTCGAAGCAGGTAGGAGTAATACCTGGGACTCTGATAGCAACGAAAGCAGTAGTGCGAGGCCCATAGACTCCAAGTAGAGATGCGATCTGCTTCTCCGCAGGTACACCACCCAGCGCTGAATCGCCGTCCCAAATGCCTATGATTGTCCCTACAGTCCAGCTTGGCGCAATGATTGAACTTCCATCGAGTGGGTCGAAGGCAAGAGCATATCTCTCAGTGCCTGTGCTCTTTGCCTCCGAGGCTCCTTCTCCCGATGATCGTTCTATAGGGTCTTCTTCGCTGCTGGCCGTGATGATGGAAGAACACTTCGAGATTCCCGCTCCTATGATCTTTTCGGCCAGGACGTCCACATTGAGCTGTTCGTCGCCAAACGCATTCGAGCTTCCAACCGCGGCGACTTGCTGGGAAGATCGCAGCTTCTCGCCAACTTCACTGATGCAGCGGAGCAAGGTAGGCAACACCGACTTGCACAATTCTGGTCGGTTGGCGGAGCTCAGGACACGCTGCACGTGCGAGATCAGATTCTCGTCTTCGATGGACATAGTGATGGCTTGCCGCAAAGCTTTTCGCTGCTGTTTCTGAGTCGGTATGCCAGGTCGGTTGGTACTTGAAGTGATGTAAAGAGCGTAGTTTTATAGAAATCTAGACAAATGAACTGGGTGGTAACTGGCGAGTTGGTGCTTGCAGGGAAGTTTCTCCTTCAATCGGTGCCGTGGTTGGAAAGTCAAAATTTTAAGCTACATAGTTTATAACAAACTTCAAGCATTCAATCATCACGTGATGAAACGGCGATGAGTTCAGCTCATCACAGTAGCCGGTCGGTTAGCTCAGTTGGTTAGAGGTGAGCATGAAACGCCTTCAATCATTAATCAACAACAGCTGATCAATTCCGCAGCGTGGTGCTAATAGGTCAATCAATTGATTCTGTCAACGCCAAGGTCGCGAGTTCGACGTAAGTTTCAGAGACATTCTTGGATCATGTAACAAAATTAACAGTCCTTCAGCCTCGTACTGACCAAACTTCCATCTTTTTTGCTCTTTCGAAGACTTCGACTTCGCTTTTGTGTGGCCCACTATTTTTGTGCCAGCCACAGCCCTTGGCAAATTGGCCGATTTCGGCGACTGCCCCAGACACAAAAGGAAGCTCTCTCCCTCGCCTTCCTTTCCAAAGCTTCGCCGGACCTTTAAAGGAGTCACCGATAGGCCAATGCCGCTTGGTGGCGGCTTTACCACGACCGCGATGGTAGCTCATAAAACTCGTCTTCTCGAAAAGCGAAAGTTCCAAAGGTAATACTGCAGCATCTTTTCCTTGACATCCGATCCAATTTTGCATCGATCACGATGGGTTCAATACAGAAGAGCAGAGTCCTGATCGTGGGGACCGGCGGAGTTGGCACAATGGCAGCATATGCATTGGAGACTGGCGGCAAAGCAGACGTGACTGCGATATGCCGCTCCAATTACGACGCAGTGACGAAGAACGGCTTCAGCATCGACTCGCTCGAGCACGGCAACGGCATCACTGGTTTCAAGCCATCGCACATCCTCAATGCGGTACCCAAAGTAGCAGAAGAGAAGCTGGAGCCCTTCGAATATGTCGTCGTCACAACCAAGAATATTCCGGATGTCAGGCCAAGTGTTTTGGATATCATTTCACCCGCAATCACCGCAGGAGTCACGACGGTCGTAATGCTTCAGAATGGCCTGAACATCGAGAAGCCCATCATGAAGGCGTTCCCGGACAACGTTGTCCTTTCTGGCATTTCTTTCATCGGCGCCACAGAGACTTCTCTCGGCGTGATACGGCACGATGACAACGATTCCGTAAAACTTGGACCCTTTCCAGATCAAGCTGTCTCGCCTGAACGAGCAGAAAAGGCAGCGAAGCGATTCATCGATCTATACACAGCGTGTGGAAAAGTGGAATGGGCGTATGATGAGGACGTCAAATTCACTCGTTGGAGGAAGCTAGTTTACAACTCTTCGTACAACTCCGTTGCAGCAGTTCTAGGAATGGACACGGCTCGAATGCGAATGAGCCAGATTGTCATCGACGATCTCGTACGACCGGCGATGAAAGAAATCATCACGATTGCGAAAGCCGTGGGAGTGGAGTTGCCTGAAGGCATTGACGACAAATTGATACGAACGGATCCTACAGACACGGCCTTTGTGCCCAGTATGGGCCAAGATGCCGCAAAGGTGAGCTGATAGCGAGTATGAGCCTCGCGGATGCTGACGACGGTTTCTAGGGAAACTACATCGAGATGGAGAACATCGTGGGAGAGCCAGTACGAGAAGCGGAGAACGCAGGTGTTTCAGCACCGACGTTGCGAACAATATACGGCTTCTTGAGAGGAATTCAGCTCAAGACGAAGGAGAAGAAGGGGCTTTGGCAGCCCAAATTTGAGGATGGAAATCCATACGCTTGATCAAATATTGTCAACGACTGATCAACGAGGGTGCTGGATCTTGTGATACCCTCCTCAAATACTCATGGCAACCTACTAACATTCACTCATCGTTCGTCTCACGCCCATACCTGCCGAATGCGGCCACTAGTGGGGCAGCGGAATCTCACCCGTGACGGCATTTGGCGGCATAGTACCGCACGTGGAGGGGTATCATGCAAGTTGCGAGCTCCTGTGCGGGGCCTTGCTTCAGACAACAATGGCCGAATCCATTTGCCGGTCTGTCAACAAGACGATTCGACGTAAGCTGAGACAACGAAAGAACCTTGAGCTTATGGGGCTTCGATTCTGCTTCTCTTCCTCACTTCTCGCTTCAAACTCGAGGACAGCCTGCTACTGATAATCTGAGTGAAGAAAGCTACAACGCCAAAGACGAGGAACGATTTGAACAACATGTATACAGCTTCATTCGCCTTCTTCGAGGCACTATGGGAGGTCCATCTCTCCAGACCGATATCGAATCGTCTTCAACATGACTAACATGACCTCTCCCAGGCCGGCGTCACTCACTGCTTTGTCAATCTCGGCAGCGACCACCCGTCCATCATCGAAGCCATGGTCAAAACCCAAAACGAGAAGAAAGGCGCCCTGAGAATAATAACCTGCCCGAACGAAATGGTAGCCCTCTCCATGGCAGATGGCTACGCTCGACTCACCAACAAACCACAATGCGTAATCATCCATGTGGACGTAGGAACGCAAGGACTCGGAGCAGCGGTACACAACGCCTCGTGCGGTCGAGCACCCGTACTGATTTTCGCTGGTCTGTCGCCGTATACGATCGAGGGGGAGTATAGGGGCAGTCGAACAGAGTATATCCACTGGATTCAGGATGTGCCGGATCAGAAGAGCATCGTGAGTCAGTACTGCAGATACACAGGGGAGATCAAGAGAGGCAAGAACGTGAAGCAGTTGGTGAATCGGGCGCTGAGTTTTGCGACGAGTGAGCCGAGGGGACCGGTGTACCTTTGTGGTGCGAGGGAGGCGATGGAGGAGGATATCGAGCCGTATAGCCTGCAGCAGGAGCATTGGACGGCGGCTGAGTTGGGTGGGTTGAATAAGAGGCAGTTGCAGCAGGTATCTGAAGCCTTGGTCAATGCACAGGAACCGCTGCTGGTCACTGGATACTCTGGGAGAAACCACGCTTGTGTGGATGCTCTGGTAGAGCTAGCGGACACGATCAAAGGCCTCCGAGTGCTGGACACCGGCGGCAGCGACATGTGTTTCCCAGCAGACCATCCAGCCTGGCTCGGCCTCCGCTACGGCATGGAAGAGAGCATCCGCGCCGCCGATGTGATTCTCGTCGTCGACTGCGACGTCCCGTGGATCCCAACACAATGCCGACCGAGCAAAGACGCCAAAATCTTCCACCTCGACGTCGACCCCCTGAAACAGCAAATGCCCGTTCACTACATCAACGCCATAGCCCGCTACCGCGCCGACGCAGAGACCTCCATTAGTGAAATCACCGCACACGTCAAATCTACCTTCAACGAGAAACTCACCTCCCAAGCCTTCACAGACCGCTGGAACAAGCTCCGCGAAAACCACACAAAACGCCTCGAAACCATCTCCTCGCAAGCCATCGCCAGCAAGGAGGGCTACTTCGGCACCCCTTACCTCATCTCCGAAGTCCGCAAAGCCTGCCCTCAAGACACGATCTGGGCCATCGAAGCCGTGACCAACACGCCCTTCGTCGCCGACCAGATCCAAGCGACCATTCCCGGATCCTGGATCAACTGCGGCGGCGGTGGACTCGGCTGGTCAGGAGGTGGTGCGTTGGGGATCAAGCTAGCGACGGATTTCGAAGCTGGCGGGACGAACAAAGGGAAATTCGTATGTCAGATCGTCGGAGATGGGACGTATCTCTTCAGCGTGCCGGGCAGCGTCTACTGGATCGCACAGAGATATAACATCCCTGTCCTGACGATCGTGCTCAACAACAAAGGCTGGAACGCCCCGAGAAAATCTCTCGAGCTTGTACATCCGCACGGAGCAGGCTCGAAGGTCAGTAATGAGGAATTGAACATCTCGTTTGCGCCTACGCCGGATTACGCGGGGATTGCGAAGGCGGCGAGCGGTGGGAAGGCTTGGGCTGGATATGCTGGGATCGTGGAAGATCTAAAGAAGAAGTTGCCAGAGGCGGTGGCGGCGGTGAAGAGCGGTGTTTGTGCGGTGTTGGATGCGCATCTTGATGGGCCTCAGGGGAAGTTCCCTGGAGAGAAGGCTGCGCTTGTGGGCTAAGGGGTTTGGGTTAGATGTTGAATCAGACAATTGATCAGTCTACATCGCTGGGGAGACCTCATGCCATGTACCTGAAGTCTGGGTGTCTAAATGTAAGTCAGCTTTTTACATTGAACTTTGGAAGCCTGGTTGTACTCACCTATACCCCAAATCCCTGATCTCCTCCTCACTTAGCCCAACCAACCTTCCATCCCTGCCACCTTTCGACCGCACTTTATTCTCCCACAGACAGTACAAGATCCCTCCAATCGCCAACATCAGTACAAGAACCTGCGCAACAAGATTGATCGTATGCCCAATAGGATAGTCAGGCCCATCGCTCGCCAGATAGGTCCACGTAGCGACAATACCACCGATCGTCCCCAGCGTCACGATCCATCCCCCAGAAACGGCTCTCACAGCAGGTCCAGCAGCATTGTTCAGACCCCACGATAAGAAGCCAGGACCACCAGGGAAGGCTCCCAGAGCGCAGAGATATACTGCTCCGTAACGTACGTCCGCGTCGTTATTCCAGCGAAGCAAAGCGAATCCCGTGATGCCGAGGAAGGTGAAGCCTGCGAGATAGAGTCCGCGCTGGCGGGTCTTGTCGCTGATGAAAGCGATTAAGATTGCTATCGCTGAGGCGGAGACGTAGACTGGGACGGAGTAGAGTTGTGCGCGGGTGGCGTCCCGCCTAGGTCGCGAAGGACGGTTGGCATGAATACTGAGAGGCCTTGGACGGTGACTATGGGGAGAGATCAGGATATGGTCTTGTGAAAGGGGTTTCTGGCTTACTGTTGATGCAGAAGAATCCTCCGGCACAGACGTAGTTGTTGATATTAAACAGAGCACGCTTGATATGTCGTGCTTTGACCTGCTCGTTCGCGCTCGCCTTGTGTTCGATACGCAGTCTCTCCGAGGCAATAAACCTCTCCCTTTCAGTCAAGATTTTCGAAGTCTCCGGGCTTTGAGGCAGAATCAGTGGCGCCAGACCGCCGAGGATCATTGTGAGAAGACCCTCGAAGAAGAACTACACCGATTCAAGATCAGCGGACCGTGACAAAAAGTCTCGAAGCTTATTGTTAAAGACTCACAATATTCCTCCAAGTATGAATCGGCGCAGCAGAAGTCCCCCATTCAGGGACCCGACTCAATCCAGCCGCGAGAAGACCTCCGAAAGCCCCAGCCATAGATGCAGCACTGACATAGATGCCCACGCGGAAGTACAGCTCCTTCCTCTTGTAGAAGCTAGACAAGAAGAAGGCAATACCAGGCATGGTGCCGCCCTCGAAGACCCCGAGAAAGGCACGGGCTACGCATAGCTGGTTGAAGGTCTTCACGAAGGAAGTGCAGAGGCTGACGAAGCCGAAGCCGACCACCTGAGGAATCTTTAGTGCTATCGATAGGGAGTGAGTGATGGTTGTGACTTACGAGCATGGGAATATAGAATCTCGGACCGACTCTCTTCAGGATGATGTTGCTTGGGACTTCCACCAAGAGGTAGATGATGTAGAAGACGGAGAGCGCCCAGTTGAATCGGTATCCGACCAGGTTGAGGTCCTCTGCCATGCCTTGAATTCTCGCATTTCCTATGTTCGCCCTGGAACCTATTTGTCAGTCTTGTTCCGTGTCATCAACGACCACAACTCCGACTAACCGGTCAAGGAAGCTTGGGGGGAAGAGGATGTTAGCGATCTTGCTCGTCAAATCTCGATAATCTTGCATACCACATGAGGTAAAGAACCGTAACCATAGGCACAATCTGCCAGTCCAACTTCCTCCTCACCCGCGTCTCCTCCTCTTCCGTCCATGTCACCTCCGCTTCAGTCGCAAGCCCCGTCTTGGTGTCGACAACGTCGACATGTTCAGGCATAGCAGTCTTCTCCTCAGCCATAACCTTTCTCCTCAAATCAAAAATTGAAGAAACCAAAAATTTGGAAAAGATCAGACAGCACCTCACCCAACCTCCCAGGTTCTCCAAACGCTCCCTTTGCCTACTTTATGCATCCACGCTAACCACACCCGAGGGACGACCACGAGTGTGGCAGAGTCCACACGGCAATCAATTCGACGCTATTTCAGAGCGGGCCAAGACCTGTCGCGGGTGTCAAGTTGGAGTACAAGACCGGGTTGACACGAGTTCCAGCCAGTCGAGGCGACACGAGACGTGGCTGGGGCTTGCATGCCAATGCTTGGAGGTGAGGCACGGATGCGGAGGTTGGTGTTCGCGTAGAGACCCCGGTAGTTGTGGGGATTTTGTTAGAGGGAGAATTGCCGTGGTTTTTGGGAGCTGGAACATGTCGGCGAGACCAAGACATCGCTGGGTATGACGACTTGTCTACACCGTTGCTGATGACTCTCTGAGTCCTTCCGTCGTCTGCCATCTTCAGCCAGTCTGTATGATGTGGTGAAAATAAGCACTTCAATGGTGAACTTGCAGCTATCTCAGCAGATAGGGTGTGGATTTGATTTTTGAAGACAGACACTCACTGACAGTAGTCAGACCGAAGTCGTCTAATCTCGCTCTTGGAAGTTCCTTCAACGAAGAGTAAAGTATGACAAGAACTTTAACAAGGATTCTTCCGTCTTGCTTCACTGCAACGCCAACACTTCCTTACAGACAATGCTACCAACCAGACCATGTAGCAAGCGATACACCGGAGAATGAAAGTTAAAAGAGGTAATGGAGGCCAGTAGCAGTAACTTGAGGAGGTGAGATTTTGGAGTAATTCATTCGCTAAATTTGTAAAAGGGGAAGCACTGTTGAGTACGCTGACGATTAGACGTTCTTTCGCCACTCTAAACCTAACAATTTTCCGTGGACATTTGAGGTCACACAATGCAATAGCTAACGAATTCCAAGTCTCTTCCTCGAGCTTGAATGAAGAAAGCAAAAGATCAGGCTTCGTTGGGTCGAACCGTAGGTGATGAGCAGAAAGGCTGTCGTATACGTCGTGGAAAGAACAATGGTGACAATTGGAGATGAAGTGTTGAAGACTGACCAAGAGAGATTTCTAGAGTCATGATTCTTCCAAAATCACTAAAGAAAGAAAAGTGGTATGCAGGATCTAGAGTTCGGGTCGAGCATTCGGCCTCGTCATGCAGCCGATCGGCTCTCGAACTGTGACTAACCAAGCACTTCACCAAATATCTATCGAAACTTCACTCCTCACTCCAGGCAAAAACCCAATCTCTACAATGACCAAAGCACTAATCTACGGCACCGGCTCAATAGGATCTGTATATGGATACATTCTGCACAAGGCCGGGGTTGACGTCACAGCCATATGCCGCAGCAACTACGAGGCCGTCAGCAAGAACGGCATAACAATCCACTCGGCGCTCTGGGGCGATGTTCACTATCGGCCCCATGTAGCTCGGTCTGTGGAGGAGAGCAGCTCTCATTGCCCATTCGATTTCATCCTCGTTTGCACCAAGGCCTTTGGTGGCCGGGAAACCGCTCTTGCACTTCAGCAAGTCGTCTCGCCGGATACAGCTATTGTCGTTGCTCAGAACGGGATTGAGGTGGAGAAAGAATACCACCAACTATTTCCCCAGAACACCATTATATCCGGCGTCGTCTGGCTCCCAGCCAGTCCCGTCGAGCCAGGTGTGGTGAAAATGGGCGCGATGGAACGCATAGAGATGGGCACATATCCAGCTCATGTTGGATCACAAGTCAAAGTCGAACAATTAGCCTCCCTCTGGACCTTGGGCGGCGGCACGCCGATAGTGCATCAAGACATCCAGGCAAAGCGATGGGAGAAACTCGCGGTCAACTGTGCGTTCAACCCCATGGGTGCGTTGAGTCGGTGCGATGGGGCGAATCTGCTTTTGTCGAGTGAGATGGCAGATGAGACTGTGATGGGAGTTTTGCGGGAAGTAAGCAGTGTCGCTGCTGCCGTGGGGTATGAACCTAGTGAGCGATTTGTGGAGGAGAATATGGCCTGCCATCGTGCGAGCAAACAGACAGGGGGCAAGGAGCAGAGTATGCTCGTCGATGTGAAGGCTGGCCGACCGCTTGAAGTCGAGGCGATCTTTGGGAACACCGTTCGGATTGCGAAGGAGCATGGCGTTCAGGTGCCTCGCCTTGAGATGTTGTTCTGTTTAGCACAGGCGTTGAACTTTTCGATTCAAAGGCCTCCGGGACGGTGGAAGCCGCTGATGAGCTAGCTGCTCTATATGAAAACCTAACAAAAATAAACAATTAGGTACTTGTGGGTGAAGATCTTTTACAGGGCTCTTATGCACCCCATAGATGCAGTCTGCGCACACAATAGGGCACGAGAGGGTATACTATTGCCCACCACGACAGCCGCGCCAAGGCAAGGCTGAGAATTGAATGCAGCTCTTTGTAGGGGCGAGCTACTCAATTCCGAGTGGCATGGTGTTGCAACACATGTAAGGGGTTATTCAAAGAAACAGTAGGGAAGGAGGTACCACTTCCACCGTCGGGAGAAACATGCCACCCCCGAGCATCAATCCCAATCCTATTGCCTACCCTCTCGATCCTTCCCCCATCCCCGAAAGCCTCTCAATCGCCAACTCCAGCAATTGCAACCTCTCCGCAAGTGAGAACTCAAAAGTCTCGATGCTGTGAAAGTGTCCAAAAAGAACACAGTAGGCCAGTTCCTCCGATGAGTCGGTTCCGTCGACATATCGATCATCGTCCTCGTCATTCTTTCCATTTCCGTGGTGGTGGTTGTGCGGCTTAGGGGCATGTTCGGATTCGCCGGACGTCTCCTCAAATCTGACGCATTTTGGAACCTCTGGTTTGCTTTGCGAGGGGCCCATGGCGTCGATATTTGCTGAGCGTGTTCATGGAGACTGCGTCTTCGGGGTCGCTGCTTTTCAGCGGCCTTATGGCCGTCCGGAATTCGTGAACAGCGCAAAGCTGCCAGTCGCTTCAGATCAGATCCAGTGACTACCGACTCATCGCCAGAATGGAGTCTTCACAACCACCAGCCAGTGAGTCCTACTCTTCACGCTTCCATCAGAGAACTCCAGGGAAGATCTTCTCCCTATTCCTCTCCAACCAAACCTCCTCATGCGCCGCAATCAACTCACACTCCTCACCCGTGAGTCGATCGAACTCCCTCAACCGTCGAATACTCTCCCCCGCCAGCTCCTTATCAACATGAATACAAATCGTCTCCCCACCAGCCCCCTCCCACGTCCCAATCTCCTTCTCCCCCGTCAACAACCTCCGATCATGGAACGCATCCCCACAGAGCAGAACCCATCGCTCCTTCATCCTACACAGCAAATTCACATGGCCCGGTAAATGCCCCGGCGTATCGATCACATACACCGATCCATCTCCAAAAAGATCCAGCGTCGCGGGAAAGGGGCCTAAAGGTTTCCATCCCTCGGGATCGGAGAGCTCAGCGGTTCGTTCAGAGGGCAAAGTATCCGGGACGAAATGCTGATGGCTCGCCGTGCCGCCTAGTCCATACTTAAGCACGTCCAAGGCGCCGTGACCGACGCGGAAGAGGGCGTTGGGGAAATCCTCAGGATCCCCGTGGTGGTCATAATGCACATGACTCAAAATCACCAAATCCACCTCGCCCGGCTCCATTCCTCCCTCCCGCAACTGCGCCGCGACGCCCGGCTCGAGTTGGAACGGCGCGCGGCCGTCGATGTGTTTCTGCAGGACTTGTGGGTAGCGGGATTGGGATTTGCGGAGGCCGAGGTCGAACATTAGGTGGAAGGGTTTTTTGGTGCTGTTGGAGGAGAAGGCTTCCGTTCCTGGGTGCGTGATGAGGAAGGTTAGGGAGGGGACGGTTCGTTTGGCGGAGGGGTCTGCTACTGGGTGGATGAAGAAGTGGTCGGCGAGGGTGATGAAGCCGCCTGGGATTGGGGAGACGGTTACGTAGGGTTGGTTTGGGGTGGGTGGTGGGAGGGGGGAGGTCATGTTGGTTGTTTTATGTAATTTTGTGGTTGTCGTTGTTGTTGATGATAGGGACCTTGATGGTGAGTTCTCGATCCGGTGAACATGTTCCCTGTCGTTCCTTCATGGCTATTGCTTCGGCCATCAAGCCGGATCCCCCTCCTCCTCCCCGCAACAGCATCGCCATTGTCCTGTACAGCTCACCTCAGCGATGACGCTGTATCGAGAGCTTCTCCACAACGAACAACGAAGCTCAATGATCTCGCTTCCGAAGTCGCAGAAGCATCATCGTAGCTAGAGCTCTTCAGAGCTATCTCGACCAGATCACTCGCAATTACGTCCTTGATCCATACCAGCTCCTCGAAGTACGTTCTTTCGTCTGTTCTCAAGAAAAACTGTTAGCCCAATCTCCCATTCTTCAGCAGTCCACTGTCCGTGTAACCATACCTCCCAACCGCTCCCCAGCCCAAACTCCACAATGGTCGTCGAATACAGTCCCGAAGAAATCAAAAAAGCCCACGAGGTCCTCTACAATGAAGGCATCAAAATGCGCTACCAAGTCGCCGGCAAAGAATACGTCGACGCCGCCCTAGCCAACGCAAAGAACCCCTTCGCAATCGCCATGCAAGAAGTATCAATTTCCCTCCCATTCCTCCCTTCCATCGTCTCCTAACTTTTACTTCCTCGCAGTACGTCTCCGAATCCTGCTGGGGCTCCATCTGGACGCGCCCCGGCCTCCCCCTAAAAGTCCGCTCCTTCCTCAACATCGCCATGCTCTGCAACCAGAACCGCTCGACCGAGCTCGCCACGCACGTCAAAGGCGCGCTGAACAACGGCGCGAGCGAAGAGGAGATCCGCGAGGTGATTTTGCAGGCGAGCTGTTACTGTGGGATGCCCGCCGGGATTGAAGGGTTTCGGGTGGCGTGGAAGGCCGTGCAGGAGTGGCAGGAGCAGAAGAAGAGGGAGGGGACGAGTGTGGGCGAGCATACGGATGTTGGGGTTGCGGAGAGGGTTAAGGGGGATGATTAGGATGGGAAAGGTGGTAGACGAGTGCTACGTACCGTGCTATCTTCTTGCGTGGGGGATGTTGATTTGACGATGCAAAAGAGAACGCCGTATTCCTGCCCATTCGTTCGTATCCATATCCATATCTCGAGCGCCAGGCTTCAGCGATGGAGCGTAAAGCATACAGCTGATGTCCATATAATCCCGTCAAGTATTCCGTCTACTGCTCATCCCTCGCCTTCCTGTACTCCGTCTCTTGATCCACCTGAATCTCCTCAACATTCTTAGCGACATCCTCCAAAATCTCCGCCGCACGCTGATGGTACTCAGCCTGCGCCTTGACAAGCTCCACAAGGTTCCTGAGCGGCTCGGGGGTATCCAAAACGTTCCTCATGACGCTCGTCGCCTCGTCCACCTTCTCCACGAACTGGTCCTCAGCCTGCTCAATCGCATGGCGCTGCTGCTCGGTGTATGCCTCCTCGTGCTTGCCACCAGCCGCAGCGCGCGACTTGACCGCGTCGAGGTTCAGCCGGGCATTCTGCACCGCGGTCCTGGCCTTGTCGGCGGCTTTGATGGACTGGTTGAGTGTGGTGCTCCAGCCCGCGAGGAACTTGCCCTGGATCTTCTCATCTTGATCCAGACGGGCCTCGCCGACTTTCTCTTCTGCGATGGCGAACTTCTCGAGGCCTTGGGCGAGCGGGTCGGGCTCAGTGGAGCCTTGAGGAGTGGCGGTCGAAATGTTCTGGGAGCCGGCCAAGCAGGCGCGAGCGATGGCGTGAGAGAAGGTCTTCGGCTGGGGTTTGGCGGAAGGAGGGGCTGTGAAGGCGGCCTGGGCCTCGCTGGCGGAGGAGGCTTTGGAGAGGAGGTTCACCTAGAAACACATCTTATCAGTACCCCAATGCTGCCTCGGAGGACTCGACCACAACACACCTTATCGCTGATACTCCTCCCCAAGTCCTGGAAGCTCTCTCTGATGTTCGGCGGATAGTCGTAAGCCTCATTGGAGTACTGACTCGTCGCAGCCAGCAGCTTCTGGTGCGTCTGCTTCAGCGCATCGATGCGAGTCTCGAGCTCGACATAGTCGTGCGGCAGCTCCGTCTTCTCGCCAGCATTGCCCGTCTGCTCCCGGAACCACTGCGAGCTGCGATTCGCAAAGGGCGTGACCGATGACGAGACGCTGTTGGTGAAAGCCCTGAACTTGTCCATGCTGGAGGTCGGAGTGGGAGCGGTGGTAGAGGTGGGTGATTGAGAGTGAGATTGAGACTGGAAGGCTTCGGCTTCTGCTTGTTGCGCCGCCACAATGTCGATGAATGCAAATCGCAGAGGAGTCGCGGGTGGAATTCGCGAGGGTCGACTGTCTTTGTGTTTGCTGGAGCTGTTTCGCGTTGAGCGATTTGGCTTTGGCTGGCGGAAAGTGAAGCCTGGAACTGACGGCAGGCCGCACCTAACAATATCTTAACCTATATGACCTAGGCAGGTGCTCGATTAACCCTTAATCCTTGTTATTAGATAGACCTTACTTCACTTCTCGCTTCACTTAAACCTCTTCTTTACTGAAAATAATACTATTTAAACGCCTATTGTCGCTCTAGTATAACTTTATACGCCGCTACCTTCGTACTCGCTTTAAACTACTCGTACTACTCGTAATCTAAAGATAACAGCGATAATAGCGAG